GCTAGATAGTAATGTTGCATATGGTTGATCTACTACATATGTTTCTTTTGAAGCCATAATTAATTGAATCTGTTTTACTGTATCAAAGTCTTTGTAGTTGTTTGATCTGCTTTCATGTCCCACCATCTGCTCCCAGGAACGGTCAAGCACGTTGTTGCCTCACTCCCTCGTCTTACTAACGGCGAGTTTATGTTTGAACATCATCTTCGGAAAGAGAGCGGGGGAGAGAAGATGAGAGCAGAAGAGTAGCTACAAAGAAAGCAACATATAAAGTGAGAGGGAGAGCGTGCTAGTGATCGAAAGAGCCTTGTGTTGTTTCGATAGAACCTGCTGGGACATTGTAATCTTGGCCTTTAATGGCATACAGCGTTTACAACCATGATGGTGCGAATTAGAGAGGTTTTTATGTAGGAACCATATTTCTCGTCAACATGTCTTTTGCTGTGATTCGTCGTTCTGTTCGTAGCTGCATCGTATCTTCATTCTTCTTAGTTTCTGCACCACATCGTTGTTCTATCTTTCTCTCTGCATGTGTTCATGCTCCCTCCATTCTCTTCGTCTCTTCTAATTCGTTCCTTCCGTCTCTTTATTTCAATTTTCATTTTCTGTATCTTCTTTAGTTGATCATTTCTAGTTTCTTCCAACTTTTTGGTCTAGTATCTTGTTACATAAAGAGTATAGTAACCACTTAATCATGCTATTAAGCCTTCATCTTTTTCCTTCGTTCTATCTCTCTATTTCAATTTTCCTGCTTTTTCTCCCTTCCTCTACCCCTTTTGCCCGTTTTCTTTCCCCTCCTCCCTCTCTCTCCGTGCCATTTTTATATCCTATTCCCTCCAGAGGCTTTGTTGTACCATTTTGGAAGTCAAGACCAATGTGGAAAGTAAAAATACAATTGTCTATACTATGATGGTACTGTGTTGTTCAGGTAGATTTCTTTTGCATCTATTTTCCAATATTGTGTTTTGAGGTTTTGTGCGTGTATATATGTGTCTTTGCGTATGTGTCGAATGTATGTTTGTATGTGTGTATGTCTGTGTGTGTGTATTCATTCATTCGCATCTATCATTGCATCAACAACGCATATTCGTGGGGTTTAAAAATTGGGATCAAACTATCATTTCCGAGAAGGTTCTTTGCCCACTCAGTGAGTGTGTTCATTTGAACTGGATTTGATAGAATTGACCTTTTTTTTAGATCACACAGATTGTGTTGTTTCATGTGACAGTTGGATGATTCAAACGTTAGGCTATTTACTTTTCCCCCATGCTAGGCAGGGGATGCGGTAGCCTAGTGTGTGGATCAATTAACTATCACGCAGTTCTATCATGTTACGCATTCGCATGATTGGTATAATATATGTATAACTGTATAATAGACATACCACTACAGTGATTGCATCATATTTAAGCATTATCATTCAATGTTTGATTCATTATATCCATCGTTATGCATGCATTTCACATTCATTTATGCACGACATAATCTTACTGCGTATGCATTACGGAATAAACAGTCGCACATTTACAACATCATTTTGGCTCTCCATGCACCCATACAAAAAAGAGTTAGGGCAAATAAAAAGAGTTGAAAGAAATACAGTACCATGTCAAGTGGTTAGCTGTCATGACAAATGAGTAGCAAATGTTTAGCGTATTTACTAGTTTTTTTTTATTTTTTATAAACATATGTTATAGAGGATGAAAAAAATTGTACATAACGATTGTAATAGGTTGCTTCGCAACCCAAAAACCTTTGTTCAAATAAACTAATCGCAACCTTAAACCCCACCCCTCATCCTCCCCCCAACTGTGCGACCCCCATTATCCTCCCTCCCCCACCTGTGCGCCTCTCATCCCGTATACCCCCCACCTGTGCGCCCCTCATCCCCCCGCCCACCTGTGCGCCCCTCAATCTCCCCCCCACCTGTGCGCTCCTCATCTCCCCCCCCCCACTTGTGCGCCCCTCACCCCTCCCCTTCCGAGCTGTGCACCTCTCATCCCCCCCCTCCCTGTGTGCCCCCCATTATCTACCCTCCCCCACTTGTGCGCCCGTTATTTCCCCCATTTGTGTCCTTCCCATTATCCCCCCTCCCCCACATGTGCGCCCCTCATCATCCACCATGCCAGCATCAGCCCCGCCGTCCAATGCTGCTGCCATGTCATCCATGTCCCCGTACTGCACCCCCTGCATGTTGGGGGTAAGAGAGGAATGGAGATTGCGGGGAGATCGAGGGGAGACAAGGGGAGGACGCGGGGGAGACAAAGGGAGGAGAGGACAACGGTGAGGTTTCTGCAGCGTCTAAAGCTGCTGCCACGTCATCCATGTCCCCGTACCACGCTCCTTGCACGTGGGGGGGAAAAGGAGGGGAAATGGGGAAAGAAATGGGGAAGGCAAGGGGAAGGGACGGTGGAGGCAGGAAAGGGGGGGAGGAGGGGGGGACGGGAGGGGAGGGGAAGCTGAAAGGGAGGTGGCTTTGGCTGATGCAATGCGGGGGGAAAGAAGGAAAAGGGAAAAACACGGGCGCCATAAAGTGGCGTGCGGAAATTGGGCGGGATGGGGGACAGCGAAGGAGTGGGGGAGGGGGAGGGTGGGGGGGAGGACAGAGGGAATACAGAGACGAGAAACTTAGGAGAGGAAGGGGAGACGACTGACTTTGCGTACTTTGCGCACCGGAAGGAGGGAGGGGGAGGGGGAAGGACCGGGGGAATTCGCTGAATTTTCGGAAAAATTTAATGGAGGAGGTTTCGCGCACCTGAATTAGGAGGTCCGCCAGGTCTTAAGCTGCTTCCGCCATCACTGCGGGGGGCCCAGCCCCGTCGGAAGGCGCGTTGGGGTTGACGGAAGAAACGTTTTGCGCAGGCGCGGACTCCGCGGGGGAAGCCTCCCCCATTCTCTGCGCTTCTGAGTCGTGAAACACCACTCTTCCCATCAGGCAGTGACACTTGCTACTTTCTTATGACAGTTTGGAAACGGCGGCAGAAGGGACGATGAGAAGACAGAAGATTACGAGCTGGTGGAAAACGTATTTGTCAACGCTTAGCAAAGAATGAAGTGAGGAATGGCCTTCTGGAGCGACACCCCTACTAAGCGATTTCTGACAAGAAAGCATCTATTAGGGCGGGTCCTTGATCGTTTTGGAAATGGCAGATTTTCAAAAATGAGTTAGTTCAGTTGACACGCTTGGACGTTAAAATGACGGATCGAGCCCTTGGGCTGTCCAAGGACTCAGAAAAAAGGACCTTGGCCAACGATTCTTCGTAAGTTACTCCAAAAGTTACGCGACGGGTAAACCAAAGTTACCGAATACCGACGAGAGAGTAAAGTCCCACTAGCTCAGCGAAGATGTGCATCGGCGATGAAACCTGAGGTCGCAGGTTCCGCACAAAAACAAACTGGTTGGCGAACTGCGTTGCGCGTCCTTGTAGGATGTCGTTTACGTTTGGGTTCTTTTTTGGCATGGAAACCCAATAAAAATTGGTTACAAAGTCCTGGGATGAAGCAAAAAAAAACCCGCCTACAAACAAACCGGCGAGCGTCAGATACAAGAAGCGAGGACTCAGGGTGTTTACAAATACATGCGAAAGTATTCCCGCACAACCGCGATGTTGACGGCAGTCACGATTTCCTCCCAGCCTCCCCCCAAATCACTTTCCGAGCTGGGCACTCTACAGAACATGGTAACGGGACCTGACTCTAAAATGGAACCAGAACTCGCATGACCCGCCCTACCTGGTACACTCACGAAAATGGCATATAGGGCCGCACGTATGCATACGGTACCAAACACAAAGCATTGAGTTTGCAACAAACGGAATATGACGGTATGCTTCTAGCTCGTCAGCGCCTTGGGATCTTCCCATTTCCAAAACTAGGCCGCAACACACATATATTTCATTATTGGTGCAGCTGCAGCCTTGATTGTTGCTCAGTCTTCCTCACACAACCTTGTTCATCTTACGCGAGCAAACCGGTAGGGCTTGCCAGCTCGGTTTCATCAAGCAATCTCATCCTCTTATCCTCCTCCCCGCGCTTCCCTAGATAGCTTGGCGCACTGCATGAAAAATTGGGTCTCCAAGCAGTGCAGGAACCTATGTACAGTCTGGACATGTGGCCTTTCAAAAGGCTCACACGGGTAGAGCTTGATCCCTTGAAGACGACCTACCTATTGGCCATTCAGATCTATTGGGAGAACTTTACAAAATGCGGAAAAAGTTGCGGACAGTCGCTCGAAGTATAGAGACTGTCCTGAGCTCACCTTACAATCTAAATAGCACTTCGCCACTCCAGAGCGGTAGATGTCTCATCGTAAATCCTTCTTTTTGGACGCCAAGACGTGAAGTTTCACTTTGGGGTGTTCCCAGCAGCAAAAAATGGATGCTCGCGACGAAGAACTGTCTACGTTCTTTGAATGACTGAATTCCGCTTTGGTACACCGCTTGCCAGCGGACGAGCTGCAGGCGATAAAAGGAAAAATGATGTCCGATTTTCTTGAGAGGAGGAAGCAGCGTCTGAAATTCTCGTTCGCGAAGTCCCGCTTGTCAGACGACGTTATCGATGTTAATGTCGTTGTTTGCAGTCCTTCCTCTCCTGCCATCCCTCGCGGCCCTGCTCGCGGTGCGGCAAGTGAAACCTAGAAGACACACTAAAACCAAGGAGGTGCAGGTGAGTTTACAAATAAGCGGACTATTGCTTTTTTTTTCCTCTACCTGTCCTAGATTTACTCTGATTACCTCTTATTTGATTCACCTGCATCGCCTTCCGCTTTCCCACTCTTCTCATCCCTAGACCTCTCCACCCTGCTGTCCTTCCCCCATTGTCCCGCCTCTCAGCCCCTCGACTCCCGGCTTGATCAAGACAGACTGCCACAGCTGTTCCAGACGGATCTAGGTTTTGACAGCGAACTTCCTGTTTCAGCATGCGTTATCTACCGTGCGCTCGTGCACTCGCGCTCCTTTGAAATCAAACGTACGGATTTTTTTTACAAGATCATTGGGATCATGAATACTGTCATTGGCCCTCAGGCTCCCTATGATGCTCCTGGTGTGCACGCAGACGCGAATTCCGACCAACAGGCCGAGGCTGCAAGATCTAGTGCCGGGGAAGATGAGGATGCAGTGGGGAGTATTGGCAAGCTGGCGTATTGGCTGGTGAACGCAGCGTATCTGCTGCATCTGCTCATGAGATATTTCAAGACCGATGAAGTCCCACGGGAAACGGTGGCATTTCATCAGGTATGTGAGCAGAATGGCGACGGTTTGTGGACACATTGTTGTTGTTTTCTTGCATCAGGTGCCAATAGCGAAGGAGAGAAAATTTCGCAATTGGGTGTTGGGAATAGGCTAAGTCAAGTGAGGATTCGGACATGATTGTTGCATCAGTGTTATTTTATCATTCCATTTAATCCGATCCCACACTCCCCTGACAACAACCCCTCATTCGTCTTCCTTCTATTAAGTGTTCGTCAAACACTCGTTAATCCAATGTCTACTTCCCCGCAGGCCATCTTCAGCCCAACTGTCCCATCTGAGGATGAGATAACTGTAGCGGAGGCTGATGGGCTGCATCTCGTGAAGCCCATGTTCCCAGCCTTGTTTTTTGAACAGCAGCTTACGTGGAGAAGGTGTACACGCGCATCACAAACAACCTTTGGAACGACGTTGTATAGTTATTGGTTGCCGGTTCCGAGGTATGGATTTGCATACGGTCGTAAGAATTTGTGGATGTGCGTTTCTGTGTTGTCAGAATGTTATTATTGTCTAGCCTGTAGTGGGGTGCTCTATAGCGAGTACAACCCAGTTAGGGTTTGCTATATGTACCCCAACTGCTGCTAGTGAAACCCCTCTCCTTTCAATCATTCTTGCCTAGTCTTGTTGAAATGTGTGTGTGTGTATATGTGTATGTGTGTATATGTGTATGTGTGTGTGTGTGTATGTGTGTGTGTATGTGTGTGTGTATGTGTGTGTGTGTGTGTGTGTGTGTGCGCACGCGCGCGCGTGCACGTGCGTGCGTGCGTGTATATGTGCGTGCGTGCGTTTGTGTGTGTGTGTGTGTTTGGATGTTTGTATCTGTGTGGATATGTGTTTGGCGTATGCGTGAGTGTGTGTGAGTGTGTGTTTATGTGTGTATGTGTGTGTGTATGTGTGTGTGTGTGTGTATGTGTGTGTATGACTCTTTGTGTATGCATGGGCGGATGCGTATGTGCGTGTGTATATGAGGAGGGGGGATGAGATGCATGCTTCATACAATCATTCCATCTTCATCCGTGTTCACCTCTTCAGATCAATACTCGCTTTTTTAGGAATTCATATCAACAGAACCTGCCAGCAGCAGCACAAAGCGAGGCAACCTTAATGCCAGCAGCAGAAGTACGGTGGAACCCTATAACTATCAAGCTCTCAGATATGCTCAACACATTGAAGGTCAACCACGTGCCTGCCTTCATCGTCAAGAGCCTCTTCCGGCAAACCTTTGGACTCATCAACTTGATACTCTTCAATTGGTCTGTGTTGTAGCCCGGTCTTCACACTGCTTGCCAATTTGGCTGCGTGCATTCTGGCTGTTATTATATTCGATCTGCTTGCGGGGCTTGCAATCTTTAGCTACTTCTCAGCATCCGATTTCGCTCTCCCAAATCCCCTTACCCATTATCACAGTTAGCTGCTCAAGTATGTTCATTTAGCTTCTTGCATTCCCATGCATGTAACCAACAGCTGACATTCTTTTCCCTCCCCTGCCAGCTCTCTCTGTTTGCCTCTCTCAAACAATGCTGTGAAACCCACCTCTCCCCATCCACAACCCCCTTGTATCTCTCTCAATTCCCCCCATCCTCCCTCCCCCTTTTGATTCTGGCTTGTTGCCGCTCTTACTCCTTTCAGTGTATTGCTTAGCCGTCGAAGCTGCACCTTACATTATGTCGACGCGTATCTCAAGGAGGGATTGAGGGAGCTGCAGCAGTGGACCTCTGCCGTCACTGAGGAGTATGCTGGTGGCGCATGGGACCAGCTGCAGCACATCAGGCAGGCTGTGGAGTTCATCGTACGTGCCTGTTTTTACCTCGCATCATAACCCCCGCTATTTCCGTTCTGTTACCATGTCCCTATCTTACCAACCCTTTTGTGCCCCAACGTGTTTCAACTGACAAGTCCTTCCTGAGAAAACTAAGGTGACTCTGGAATAACTATGTTTGCACTTTCCTGCTTTGAACACGAGACAACTTTACTGCATAAGTCCCATGATTCCCACCAGCGATCCCAATGCTATCTTTGCGCCACGTGCGATGCTGTATGCCATGCGTGAGAAGTGCAACAAAGAGGATCCTCGCAATGACATACCTTTCCTCCTTGATGCTGACTGGAGGTAAGTGATGGTCCAGTTGTTTTTGTTTTGTTGCGCTTGTGCTGTTGCTGCTGACCTTGATGCTCTCGATACTGCTGTTGTTCAAAAGGTGCTTTAGGGCCCTACAGTATCCTCTCCACTTGGTCTCTGTGTGTTACCCTCCCATCCCCACCTTTCACATCTCAGCATCCAATTTTCAGTAATTGACATGTACAAGGAGCAGCCCAGAATCTCACTCAACGATCTACTAGTGAAACCCCACTTCCCTTTGAATTTTATTTACTTGACAGGTGCTGCTGGACATTCCTCTTAAGCTACGTAGATGTTTGTCTGTGTATTCCTTTTCATGCTGGTTGTTTGCTGGATACTCCATAAACATGCTCAGTAGTTTAGCTAAAGTTGTGATTATGGGCACAATGGGATAATGTGTATATTGATCTGGCATCAGCATAGTACACCAGATTTGTAATGATAGTTGCAAATTGCAATGGGCATGTGCGTTAGACAGCATGGATGGAAAATATATATAAATGGTGCCGTACAAGCTGACACAAAATTTAGAATAAGGCCGTGTTACATTTTTCGAAATCGCTGAAAGTTCGAACGGTTGTCCGGACGCGTGCGAAGTTTGCGACGTCGTGCGGTCGCTTTGCGACCAATGCGATGTCGTGAGTAAGCAATACGAAACATGCGACGTCGTTTAGACCCTGACGAACTACGATATTGAACGAGCTACGTAACCACACAGTCGTCCGGACGGCCAGCCGTCCGGACAAAAAAAATATAAAATGTAACACGCCCTAAGTTCCAAAAGTTACTAACAGCTGCAAATACACCTAACCACCGCTATTTTCTTTCGGTCTATCTTCAACCCCCACGTGTGCAAAGGGGTAGGCACCCTTCAAAACGTTTTTGACCGAGGGTTGTGTCGGACGTCATACGCTCTACGCAGAGTTAGTTCCTGACTCCTGAAAGCTACGCAATGGGATGCGCAACAACAAGCAGACTCCACACGAGCCGAAATTGTCTTACACTCGCCCGATTGAAATCTCCATTTGATGTCATTCATAGTCCCCTATAACGAGGTTTCTAACAGAAAACCCCAAAAGCTGGGCAGGGATTACATGAAAATCGGGAACAGTGCCAAGGTCAGAAGTTGAAAATAGCGGTGGCTAGGTGTATTGGGATAGCCTGCCAAGGGTGAGCTGAAGTGCGTCAGAGCCCTGCTATGATTGGCGGAAAGGCAACTCGGAGGCTAGGGTCTAAGAGGGCGTGCTCGGAAGAGCCTCAAAATGCAGTGGAATTTGAATATATGCGCGACTCAAAATGTGCGATACTTGACTTCCAGTAGTTTCTGACAACTAATCCATGTAAAAAGCACTTTCAATAACAGTTTAAGCAGGTAGTATCATTCTCAACACATTAGCGAACGGGGCTGCTATTCGCGCAACTCGCCTTGTGGGCTGCACCCCTTCATCTCCTCCAGCCATTTGGAAGTTGCATCACCAGGAAACCTAGATTTCACCAACAGCAAGCCTAGGGATCACAAAGAGTTGTGGCGTAGCCTCGGCCAGGTGCCCAATAGCTCCACGACGACGGCCTGCCGGCCTTCTTAGAGTTTAACCTGGTCCGCTGTTGCGAGCCTCGCGCCGCTATTGCAAGGTGAGTGTGCGCGACGCCGACATGATCTCTATCTGGAGTGGAAAATCGATTAGTGTCAGTCAACTACACGCGGGGTTCATCAGTTACCCTTCCTCGAGTTGAGGAGAGACGACGTGTTACGTGGATCATTTGCCCGGACGCGTAGTATGCCATTGAAAAAGGAGAGCTTGTTTTAAAAAGAGCAGGGGATAAAATTGCTGCCTTTTTCAAGCCGCGCCTTTCAGCAGGCCGTATGGAGAGAATGATCCAATTCGTGTGATTCACTGTCGCGACAATCGAATTGCTACCTTTACTTGATTCTATTTCCAACAGCTTTCTGAGATTCGACAACAGTTCACCAGCCTCGCAGCTTAGAGTATCGTAAGATCCGTTCGACCCGCCATGGTTTCTTATTCCCGTTAGCCTAGCTAGTGACTTGCCCGTAAGCAGCGAATCAAACTGATTGCACAAGACATTCGCGCGCACAGTGCACGTGACGTTACCATCGCACAGACAGTGCACGCAAGTCACCTCCTTTCTTACCGCACTGCACTTCGCCATCCGAACGAGCAGAGGAAATTGGCGGCAAACTGAGGGTTCTTGGGTTGGTGACTAAATACTAACTAGAAAGATGACTCCTAATTAGCTGGTTCTTAAACTCCGATGCAGCTTTCGAGCTCGATGGCCGATGTGCTGAAACCTGGTGCCGTGTCGAATAGCTGACGAGTAATAACGGGATTCGCTTGCGCTCGTACCGAAGACCGCTTGCGTTACTACCATGAAATTCTCGTTTTGCCTCCATCCAGCCACTGCGATGGCTAGCCGTTGGCGCAGTTCCTTCGATCCCCTGCTGCTTCGTGGTTTTCTCCACTTGTTGTCCAACTTTTTCTCCAATCGCTCCTTCCTCTCTCCCCTGCTCGTCCTTCTCTCCGCACCCCTCCCCTGTTCTCCGCGCAGCAGCAACCATGACTACACATTGGCGGAGTTCCGTCCGCCCGCTGCTGCTACTGCTGGCGGTGCTGCTGGCGCGGCATGCGAGCGTGCAGGCAGCGGACAATGCGAACGCCACCCAGCCAGCAGCGGACGACCCCGTGGTCAAAGCGGAGAAGGAGGCGGGCGATATCGTGCCTCAAGGTGGGTGGGTGTGAAGCAAAGCAAGGTGGGTGTGCTGTTGGCGCAGCATGCGGGCGTTCAGGCAGCGGCAAGGCCAACGCCACCCAGCCAGCAGCCGACGACCCCGTGGTCAAAGCAGAGAAGGAGGCGGGCGATATCGTGCCTCAAGGTGGATTCTCTTCTGTGCAAGTTCCATGCTTGTTCTCTTCTTCCCCCATCTCCCCCCTTCTTCCCCCTCTTCCCCCCCACCCCCCCCCCCCAACACCCTCTCCTCCATTGTCTTGTCTTCCCTTCACAAGGAGCGTGTGAGGCAGAAATAAGAGTTTTGTTGCAGCGATCTCCTCACGGGCAACCCCTTTCTGGAGCGCTTGGGTAGAGGGTTCTCGGAAAGCAAACATGATGCGTCCCTGTCTCTCATGCAGGGGCGTGTAAGGCGGAGATAACGGCTTACTGTTCGGACCTACCCACGGGCAACCGCTCTCTGGAGCGTTGTTTGAGTACTCAAGTCAAGATGGTGATGGCGGGGAAAGTGAAAGGTGAGATGCTGGTGGGGGTGAGATGTTTGGGGGGGAGTTGGGGACATGAGTGGAAAGGGAGAGATGCGAGATGTTAGGGGGGTGCGTCGCATGAGAGCAACCGCTCTTTGGAGCGATGTCTAAGCATGCAGATCACGTTGGTGAAAGCGGGGACAGTTATGAAAGGTGAGAGCTTGACCATGGTGGGGGGAGGGCATGAATGAAGAGAAAGGGAAAGGTGACAGTTTGGTGAAAGGGGGTGGGGGCTGAAGGGGGGAAGAAAACGGCATGGGGGGAATGGCATTGCTAGTTTCACGTGTACAGTGTACTATGCACCGAGCCTGTGCTCATATTCACTCCTCCTACATGCGCCGCACCGCAACACACATGTACATGCATCTTCGCTTGCCTAACCGTGTGCATCACCGTTTGTGCCATGCCATCTTCGCTTCGTCCGCGCGTCTTTTGCAGCGAACCCCGAGTTCACCGCGGAGTGTTTGCTGGAGATCCGCAACTTCAAGATCGCGCTGTACAAGGACATCAGCATGAACAAGGAGATGGGTGCGTGGGCGTGGGTAGGTTAGGGTGTGCGGTGGTGTCTATGTGTGCATGCGCGTGTGTTGTATTTCTCCACACAAGGGGAGCGCCAAGATTGCGCTGTACAAGGACATCAGCATGAACAAGGAGATGGGTGCGTGGGCGAGTTGTGTGTGTATGTTTGTATGTTGTGTGTGGGTGTGGTGGTGGTGGTGGTGGCGTGTGTGTGTGTGCGTGTGTGTGTGTGTGTGTGTGTGTGTGTGTGTGTGTGTGTGTGCGTGGGTGCGTAGGTGCGTGCGTGCGTGCGTGCGTGCGTGCATGTGTCTTTGTATGCAAGGGGTATGCGCTTGTGTGAGAGCGTACAAGAAGGACACCACACCGCTGCGTAAATATTCCTTGTTCATCTCTCTCCTGGTTTCATCTCTTTCTCATCTCATCCCTCCCCGCACTCGCAGTGGAGGCATGCGAGGAGGGCATCACGTTACATCCGTCTGTGATGGTTCCTGCCTCACCACTCCCCTCTTCGCCCCGTTATCCTCCTTTCTCCCACCCACCAGTGGAGGCGTGCAAGGAGGACATTGCATCCTTCTTTGATGACTCCTGCCTCACCACCTCTCTCCCGTTCGCCCCTTTCTCCTCCCCTTCCCCTTCCCCCTCCCTTGCCCACCCACCAGTGGAGGCGTGCAAGGAGGACATTGCATCCTTCTGTGATGACGACTTCCTCTACCCGGAGCCTGGAAACGTGCTCGCATGCCTGCGGTATGTTGTAGCTGCAACAAGAGACTTGGTGCAATACGTATAGTATGAAGACTAGGCTCGATTTTATGTTATGGACGATCGAGTTTTCATGACTTCCTCTACCTTGACTCGAGCCGAGCAACTGTGTGCTCGCATGCCTGCGGTATGTTGTGGGCGGGAAGGGATATGATATGACATGATATGGATATGATTAGGGTATATTGTCCTGTGGGTGATAGTGTGATAATGACTTTGGCCACTCTACCTCAAGCTCATCAAAATGCTCACGTGCCTGCGATGAGTCGGGGGGTTTGTCGCGCCAATGCTCAGCGATGCTGTTTGAACCATGAACAAAAAACCACTTCAAGAATTTCCATCCATCACCCCTCTTTCCCCTCATGCTGCCACGCCAGGGAGAGCAAGGAGTCAGGGGCGTGTGTCGGACCAATGCGCTATAATGGTGTTTGAGGCGCAGGAGGACGCAGCAGACGATTTTCACCGCATCAACTCAAACTCTTCCACCCCATCACCCCCGTTTCACTCCGTGCCACATCAGAGAGAGCAAGGAGTCGGGGCGGGTGTCGGACCAATGTGCTATAATGGTGTTCGAGGCGCAGGAGGACGCAGCAGACGATTTCCGCATGGACCCACAGCTCAACATGCTGTGCTCCAAGGACGCTGATACCTACTGTGGGGACGTGCAGGCAGGCGAGGGGCGCATTCAGGAGTGCCTGGTGAGTGCTTGGGGAATGAATGGAGAGCTCTTGGTGGGTCTGTAAGAGTGGCAGCAGGAGATTTCCGCATGGATCCGCTGGTGTGTGGTACGACGACAGGTGAACGATTAGTGCTTGGTGGGTCTTTAAGAGACGCAGCTGACGACTTCCGCATGGATCTGCAGCTCAACATGCTGTGCTCCAAGGACGCTGATACCTACTTTGGGGACGTGCAAGCAGGCGAGGGGCGCATTCAGGAGTGCCTGGTGAGATGGAGGGAGTGGGGAGTGTCTGCCTGGTGTGTGACAGGGGGATAAATGGAGAGTGCTTGTTGGCGGGTTTCGATTCAGGGCGCAGCAGATGGCTTCCGCATGGACCAACGCCGCATGGACCAACGCCGCATGGACCAACACCGCATGGACCAACACCGCATCCATATCCCACCCCTGCACATCCTTCCACACCATCCTTGACCCCCCTTTTCCCCTCCCTCAGCGTTGCAACCGCAAGAGGCTGGTTTGGGAGTGCCAGACGGAGCTGTTTCGATTCAAGGCGCCTCAAATACAGCCCTTCTTTACCTTACCCACTCCTGCCCCCTCCCCACCCCCCACCCCCAACCCCTCTTCCTCTTTGCAGTGGCGCAACCACAAGAAGGAGTGCCAGGCGGAGCTGTTCCTCATCAAGACGCCTCAAATAAGGCTCCTCATTCCCTTCCCCACTCTCTTCCCCTCCACACCCCCTCTCCCTCCACTTCATCCCTTCCCGTGAGTGTGCAGCGGCGCAACCGCAAGAAGCTCAACTGGGAGTGCCAGGCGGAGCTGTTCCGGCAGGAGGTGGAGAATGCAGATGACATCCGCCTCAACGTGCGCCTGTTCCGAGGTGGGGTGGGGGAGATGTGGAGCATGCTGTGCCGGGAGTTGTAACAAGTGCAGCATGAAATGGCAGCATGTCATGGTTGCATCACGTAAAATGGCAGCATGTTATGTGCCTGTGCCCCACAAGGCAGCATGTATCGCATTCATTGTAAGGCGCTTATGTGTCTTCCTATGCCTTGTCTTTCGTGTCTCTCTTTCTCTACCGTCGCTCTCTCCCTGACCTGCCGTGCCATCTCCCCCTCTCTCCCTTCCTTCCCTTGAACGATACCAGCCTGTCTGGATGACAAGCGGCGTTTTTGTCCCGATGTGCTGCCCGGGGATGCCCGCGTGAAGGACTGCCTGGAGGAGCACCGCTCTGAGCCTGAGTTCTCCAAGACCTGGTGAGGGCGAGTAACTGGCTGGGATGGGACGTTGAGGAGGGAGGGGTATGGGGGTTGTGAGAGAAACGGAGATGCACGTGTGAAGGACTGCCTGGAGGAGCACCGATCCGAACCCGGGTTCTCCAAGACCTGGTGAGGGCGAGTAGCGGGCTTTAGGATTGAGGGGCAGAGGTTAGGACTGATGACAGGGGTATGGGAAGCGTGAGAGGGAGGGAGATGTAGCGTGAAGGACTGCCTGGAGGAGCATCGCTCTGAACCCGAGTTCTCCAAAACCTGGTGAGGGCGAGTAACGGAGTGGGGCAGGAGGAGTGATGACAGGGGGTGGGGGAGGGTATGGGTGAGTGAGTTGAGAGAGAGGGGATGCGAGGGGGTGAAGGACTGCCTGGAGGAGCACCGCTCCAAGCCTGAGTTCTCCAAGACCTGGTGAGGGCGAGGCGAGTAAGGGGCTGGGGTAGGGCTGATGACAGGGGGAGGGTGTGGGTAGAGATGAGCAACCAGCCCAGCCCGGCCCGACCCGACCCGTACCCGGGTCCAAGTTGACCCGAGTGTGTAGGTCCGGGTCGGGCCAGAACCTTCAGGACCCTGGCCCGAGCCCGGCCCGACCTGACCCGCGGCCGCCCCTATACCGTGCACGCGGCCCCTAAGAACCTCTACAAAATGGTGCAATGTTAGTTGCTGGCGCGCCTATGAGCAACTGCTGGCCTAAAACGAGGCGTGCAGCCTGTGAATTGAAGTATCGCTAAAAAACGCGAAGTTGTAAAAAAACGCCATTCCTGCATCGCGGTTTTCCGTTAACAGCAGGATACGATAGTAAACTAGCTATAAATGTCTGTCAATGAGGTTTGAACGGGTTGTAACTAAGTAGTGTCTAAGCTTTGGTGACTTGCTTGCTGCCGTTAGGCAAGATTGAGAGCGTGGGTAGGTTCTGATGTCGAGGGGATAAAAAACCCCTCGACAACAATTTGACCTAGGGTTTCGTCCCCAGTGTGTCGAAATCGGGTCGGGCTTGGTCCTGACCCGAATTCGGGTCAGGTCAAGCCTGACCTGAAACCCGGCCCGAATCGGCCCGAGTTCCATGCTCGGGTCGGGTTTTAGGCCGGGTCGGGTCGGGTCGGCCCGCACGGGGCAGGCAAGTGAAACCACTGACCCGACCCGGCCCGACCCTACCCGCGCAGAGCAAATGCTCATCTCTAGGTGTGGGTGGCGCGAGGGGTGGGGGATGAGGGGTAGAAGGACTGCCTGTAGGTGGAGGAGCACCACTCCCACCCCGAGTTTTCCAATCCCTGGTAATGACATGGCATGGCTTGGAAGCATTCGATTCGAAGGACTTGGCCTTTTTCTAACTCTGTACCCTCTTTTGTGTGTGAATATGCTGTGCGGGTGCATTGTATGCATGGTGACATAGTATGCATGCTTGCATGGCATGTATGGTGTGCACACATCATGGCATGCATGGTGTGCACACATGAATTCATGCATGGTGTTTATGTGGTGCATGCTATGGTCCACGGCATGGGGTGCACGTGACATAACATCGCACGCAGCAAGGCGGAGTTTGACAAGATGATGGAGCGCAGGGCCGTGGACTTCCGCCTCGATGCCAGCCTGCGCAAGTACTGCCATAAGGACATCGTGGAGGTGAGAGAGTAGTAGTGAAAGTGATTGTAGCGAATGGGACAATAGAAGGACATTTTGGAGGTGAGAGGAGCAAGTACTGCAACAAGGACATTGTGGAGGTGAGGGAGGGGAGTAAAAGTGATGTGATAGTAGGGAATGGGACTATAGCGAGTACTGCCACAAGGACATTGTGGAGGTGAGTGAAAGTGGTGTGATTGTAACGGATGGGATTATAATTAGCAGGTGCTGTCACAAGGACATCGTGGATGTGAGAGGAGTGGATGTGACTATAATGAACAGTCGCAAATAATGACACAAGGGCATTGTGGAGGTAAGAGTATTGACTGTAATTGTAGTGGAAATGTCTCTACTTAACATGGCGTGGCGAACAACTCTCTGTGCCTTACTTGCTATCCCCGCCCTTCTGCCTGCACCAGACCTGTCACTCCGATACGGAGGACATCAGTGACGTGGCGAACTGATTTTTCTTCCCCTCTCGCTGTGCTTCCAACCAACCAACTGACCCCCTGTTGCTCTCTTTCCCCAGACGTGCTACCCCGACGCGGAGGACATCAGTGACGTGGCAAACTGGGACAGCAAGGTGATGGAGTGCCTGCAGGACTATAAGGAGGAGCTCAAGGACCCACGCTGCCGCCAGCAGGTGCGCCTAGGCATGCAGAGATCGAGAGCATGGAGATTCGAGTGCCAGTGGTGGTAACAGCAAGAGCAAGCAAGGTGATGGAGTGTCTGCAGGACTCCAAGGAGGAGCTCAAGGACCCCGCTGCCGCCAGCAGGTGTGCTGATGGGGGAAGGGGATTTTGAGAGCAGTGAGTGAAAGTGGGTAGCAATAGGGACGGCAAGGTGGCGAACGTGGTAGCAGCAGAGACAGCAAGGTGATGGAGTGTCTGCAGGACTACAAGGAAGAACTCAAGGACCTGCGCTGCTGCCAGCAGGTGTGTGGTGGTGAGGGATTGAGGGCTTGTGATTCTAAGCCACGGGAACTTGAGAGCAAGAGTATTCGACCGAGTGCAAGTGGTGGTAGTAGGAACAGCACGCAAGGTGATGGAAATCACTTTTGAGAATTCTCAAAAGTGATTTCCATAGTGCCTGCAGGACTACAAGGAGGAGCTCAAGGACCCGCGCTGCCGCCAGCAGGTGTGCTGTGGAGGGAGAGTTGGGAGCCATTGGGATTTTACAGGAGGGGGTTTAAGAGCATGGGATTCGAGTGCCAGTGGTGGTAGTAGGGACAGCAAGAGCAAGCAAGGTGATGCGTGGAGGATATAATGAGTGAAAGTGGTGTGGTAGTGATAGTGATTCGTGCATGCACAGATACAATGCTCGCACGCTTGTGCACACTGACTGACACACACACACACACACACACACACACACACACACACACACACACACACACACACATGCACACACACACACTCTCACACGCCCGCACGCCCGTACACACCTTCTCTCAAGCTCTTCTCGTTGTCTCCGCATCTCTGTGTCATCCAAGCTTCTCGCGCTTTTGTCGCTGTCCCCCATCAGGTGCACCGCCTCACCAAGAGGGCAGCGGAGGACATTCGCTTCGACCATCCTCTGCATGACGCATGCCAGCGTGAGCCATTCTTCCAAAGCCACTTCAGCATGTCCTCTTGTTCTTGATACGCCTAGAATCGCGTCAAGTGTTTTTGTGTCCAGTGGAACGAGTGCCTGTGGGACGTTGGCTGGCAGCAAGAGCCTCTAAGGAGACTTCTCAGGTGTTCCTGTCTCCAGCCCATGTGCTTTGAGTCAACTCGAAACTCCACCTGTGCCCGGGGCCGGGGGCCATGTGTTTCTCGTTTACGTGTTGGCCGCCTGCTTACAGGGGAAGGGAGCCACCCAAAATCTTGCCTCTTTTTCCGTCTCCTCTTTCCCTTCTCTCTCTCTTCCCTCCCACCGACATACCAGCCGACCAGGAGAAGCTGTGCAAGGACGTGCGGCCTGCACGCGTCTTCAACACACTGCTACTCATGCTTGCTGTCTCTCTTCTCCCTCTTTTCCGTGGGTCCATGTACCAGCCGACCAGGAGAAGCTGTGCAAGGACGTGCCGCCCGGCCACGCACGCGTCTTCACGTGTCTGCAGGATCACCGCAAGGACCTTCGCCCTGTGTGCCGCGCCGCCCTCTTTGACCAGGTGGGTGGGTGCTTCTCTCTAAGGGCATTCAGTGGATGCATATGGAGTGCATGCGAGGGTCTTCACGTGCCTGCAGGACCACCGCAAGCACCTGCGCCCCGTGTGCCGCTCCACGCTCTTTGACCAGGTGGGTGGGTGCTTCTCTCTTTGAGACCAGGTGGCAGGCGGGTATAGATAGTGCATGTCTTCACATGTGTGCAGGATCACCGCAAGGACCTTCGCCCCGTGTGCCGCGCTGCGCTCTTTGACCAGGTAAGGATGTGCTGTTAGGGGAGTGCTGCTCTTTGAAACCAGGTGGGTATAGCTGGTGCACGCGCGGGTCTTCACATGTCTTCAGGACCATTGCAAGGACCAGCGCCCTGTGTGCTGCGAGGTGACTTTTGAGTCGACTAAAAAAATCTGAACTTCAGACATGAGCAACGAGCGAACCGAACACGTTTGTCTCGAACAGTTTGCGAACACTTGGTCAATTCGAACCGAACCGAACACGTTTGACTCGAACAGTTTTCCTAAATGTTAGTGTTCCCCGTTCGAGTATAGGGTCGAACAGTTTTGAGGCAAGGCCGAACACTAAGGTGTTTGACCCGAACTCGAACAGTTTGCCTTGGGGGGTTCTTTCAGTATGGTCACATTCAGGCAGGGCGAGTGTACTAGAAGCAATGCCACGTTCCCTATAGCCCTACAAGAGATATAGTTAGGCTTTGCGCAGATCTGGTGGATATCCAATTTCGCCTTGCTTAACTCCAACCTAAACCGTAATGCCCTTAGTTCCTTCTTGTAACTGTCTCCTACCCTAATCCAACCTTATACCTAACCTTTCCAGCCACAAGTGGAATTTCAACTGTGGCAATGTGTTAGTTTAAGTGGGTAGGGGGTGGAATGCCATCCTTAGGCTATATCGACGATTAAGCTCATTTTTGAGCTCAATCGTCGCCCCCCCCCTTTTAGATCCAACCAGTGCGTCAAACTTTGACGCGCAGAAAAATGCACGAACACCTAGGTGTTTGCGACGAACACGTTGTGCTCGCGAACACCTAGGTTTTCCTGCATTTTTCTGCACACGAACACTCGAACAGTCGAACGTGTTTGTGACGAACACCAAGGTGTTCGTCACGAACAATTTTGGGCAGAAAAACCACTCGAACACGTTCGAGTCGAACACTTTCGAGTCGAACCGAACAGGAGTTCGAATTTTTGCTCATGTCTAAACTGAAGTCACCTTTTGAGTCGACTCAAAAGTCAAGTGTCACCTCGTTTTGAGTCGACTCAAAAGTCACATGTCTGCAGGATCACCGCAAGGACCTGCGCCCCGTGTGCCGCGGTGCGCTCTTTGACCAGGTGGGTGCTGCTCCTTAAGCTGTTTCACTGGATTCATGAATAGTTAATTCTTGGGTCAGCGCGCGCAAGCATACACCACCGCAATGACCTTCTGCGCCCCGCCCCGTGTGACGTGCCGCCCTCTTTGACCAGGTGGGTGCTGGCTCATAGTGACGTGATTCTCCTGCTGCTGTGGTGGGTCAAGGTTCCTAATCTGCCGTCTATCGCTGGAATTTCTTACGAGAGTTCTCAAGGAATTCTGGCATTGTTTACAGCTTACAGATGTGTGCTTGTGCCGCCTGCCCTCCCTCTTCCAGCCCTCATGCTTTCAACCCCCTTTCGCTTTCAACTTCCCTCCCTCTTTCAGCCCCCTTACCTGTTTCAACCATCCTCCCTCTTTCAATCCCCCTCCTGCTTTCAATTCAACCCCCTCCCGCTTTCAACCTCCCTCCCTATTTCAACCCTCTTCCCTCTTTCACCCGCCCTCCCTCTTTCAATCTTCCTCCCTCTTTCTATTCCCCTCCCTCGTTCAACTCTCCTTAGAATTTCAACCCCCTTCTTCTTTCAACCCTTCCCCCTACCGCCTCTCCCATATTGCAGGAGATCCGCTACGCAGGAGACATTGACTTCAAATTCGCCATGCGCCAGGCATGTGCCGATGAGATGAAGCGCCTGTGCTCCCAAGGTGAGGATGGGGGGTAAGGTGAAGGTCAGCGCCGGTGAGCTGCATGGAATGAGTGTGAGTGTGGGTGTGAGTGTGGTTGTGAGTGTGGGTGTGAGTGTGGGTGTGAGTGTGGGTGTGAGTTAAGTATGTGTGACATCGACTTCAAGTTTGCCATGCTCCATGCGTGTGCCGATGAGATGAAGCGCCTCTGCTCCAAAGGTGAGGGGGGAATGTTTGCCACTGTGGTGTGGTGAGGCTGTGGTGTGGTGAGGCTGTGGTGTGGTGAGGCTGTGGTGTGCTGGGGCGGTGTAAGGAGATCCGCTACGCGGGAGACATTGACTTCAAGTTCGCCATGCGCCAGCCGTGTGTTGATGAGATGAAGCGCGCCTGTGCTCCAAAGGTGAGCAAGGGGCGTCTTTTCATGATATGCAGGGTTTAGGGTTTAGGGGGGGCTGTGGTGGTAAGGTAAAAACATTGCTAAGTTTGTAAAGCTCATGTGTCTGTCTGTGTTTCCGTGTGTGTCCCTCTCTCTGCCCACACAGCGCCCGACATTTCCTCTATGTGTCTCTATTTGTATCTCTCCTTCTTTCCGCACACAGTGCCCGGCATGGTGAAGTGTCTGCAGGACCATGTGACGGATGCAGACATGGGCAAGGCATATGCTGATTCTCAATGCTCATGTGCCCACCCTTGTGTGTCTTTTCCTCTTTGCGTGTCTGTCCGTATCTCTCTCTCTCTCTCTCTGCGCATCCAGCACTTGACATGGTGAAATGCCTGCAGGACCATGTGACGGATGCAGACATGATCAAGGGATGTGCTGATTCTCAATGCTCATGTGCCCACCCATGTGTGTCTTTTCCTCTTTGCGTGTCTGCCCGTATCTCTCTCTCTCTGCTTACACAGCGCCTGACATGGTGAAGTGCCTGCAGGACCATGTGACCGAGGCGGACATGAGCAAGGGATGTGCCGATGAGGTCAAGAAGGACGAGGAGCGCAGCGCACAGGGTGAGTGCCTCAGTCAACTTTTGAGGCGCCTCATAACTCAGCACACAGGGTGAGTGGCTCAGTCAACTTTCGAGTCAACTCAAAACACAGCGCACAGGGTGAGTGCCTCGGTCAACTTTTGAGGCGCCGCAAAAATTACCTCACGGCTCAGTCAACTCCCTATTGCAGCATCTACCACATCTTCAGGAACATTGCAGCAGGAAAAATTACACATCAGCTTGCGCTTCGTCCTGTCCTTTTGAAATGTCCCTGCTTGAAGTTTGTGCAGCACCTCTGCATGCCGCCTGTGCACCACCCAGCACCCCTCACCACTCCTCATTCCCTCTGTATTTGAATCATCTTCCTCACCTCCACTCCCCTTCCAGATTTCCGTCTCAACTTCCGGTTGAACCACGTGTGCTTCAAGGACGTGCAGCACCTCTGCATGAACGCCTTGCACCACCCAACACCCCTCACCACTCATCCTTACCTCTCCACACCATTCTCCATCCCCATCAGATTTCCGCCTAAACTTCCGCCTCAACCACGCGTGCTTCGAGGACGTGCAGCACCTCTGCATGAACGCCTGCGCCCCTCCGGGCGTGGAGGGGGCCATGGCTGCTGCAGCAGCGGCCGCGGGGCAGGCGTGCGGAGGGGCGGTGCTCAAGTGCCTGTCTGAAAAGGTGTCTCAGCTGCAGAACGCCGAGTGCAGGGAGGAGGTCTTTTACTTTGAGCGCAGGTACGTTAGGAACCAGGGACACGTCTGAGCTGAACCTTCTTGTGGTGGGGCAGCCTTGCTAGAGGGGCGGTGCTCAAGTGCCTGTCTGAGAAGGTGTCTCAGCTGCAGAACGCCGAGTGCCGTGAGGAGGTGTTCTACTTCGAGCACAGGTACGGTGCGAATACAAACACACAAGTATGACAGGAAAGGGGCGAGTGTATTCTTCTTGCCTGTCTGAGAAGGTGTCTAAGCTGCAAAACGCCGAGTGCCGTGAGGAGGTGTTCTACTTCGAGCACAGGTACGTTGCGAATAAAAACACACAAGTATGACAGGAAAGGGGCGAGTGTATTCTTCTTGCCTGTCTGAGAAGGTGTCTCAGCTGCAAAACGCCGAGTGCCGTGAGGAGGTGTTCTACTTCGAGCACAGGTACGGTGCGAATACAAACACACAAGTATGACAGGAAAGGGGCGAGTGTATTCTTCTTGCCTGTCTGAGAAGGTGTCTCAGCTGCAAAGCGCCGAGTGCCGTGAGGAGGTGTTCTACTTCGAGCACAGGTACGTTGCGAATACAAACACACAAGTATGACAGGAAAGGGGCGAGTGTATTCTTCTTGCCTGTCTGAGAAGGTGTCTCAGCTGCAAAGCGCCGAGTGCCGTGAGGAGGTGTTCTACTTCGAGCACAGGTACGTTGCGAATACAAACACACAAGTATGACAGGAAAGGGGCGAGTGTATTCTTCTTGCCTGTCTGAGAAGGTGTCTCAGCTGCAAAACGCCGAGTGCAGGGAGGAGGTTTTCTATTTTGAGCGCAGGTATGGTGGGGATGCAAGCACAGGTCCGTTGTGGATGCAGGTATGGCAGGGTTTCGGGTTTAGGGTTGTAGCAGCACCACTACCACTGCTGCAAACGCCGATTGCCAACCTTATCCCTTCACCCTCTAGGACTGGCCGTGCCTCTCCAGGAGGCCTGCAAGGATGATGCGGACATGTTGTGAGAAACTGAAGTGTTGGTTTGATTAGAATGATGGTGGGTACATATAGGAGATGAGAAGTATGGGGAACTAGGTTGGGTACCCGCAACATTATTGGTGAGCCAATAGGAGTGGCCACCAATAATGTTTTGGAGGTAGCTGCCAATTATTGGGGGGCCTGGTTCACCCCGCCAATTATGGCAGAGTGGGGTTGGGACGCGCCCAACCAAAACTGGTTGGGGCGCTTTGGCCCAAGGTGTACACCCATGTTTGGGTGTTACACTTGCACATTTACAACCCAACTGATGCTATATCTAACACAACCCCTTAGCAGAAGAAGGGTTTAAATGTGCACAACCCCTGAATCTTCAAGCCGGGAGAGGGGGAGAGGGGGAGAGGGGGGGAAGGGGGGGGGGGGCTGCTGCAGGTGAGGAGGCAAGTCAATCGTACGTGCCGCGGCGGTGACGTCGCACGCCAGCTGGGAGCGGGGGCTGCTGCATTTGAGGTGGCACGCCAGCCGAAGGAGGGGCTGCGGCGGAGGATGCGGCACGCCAGCTGGGAGCGGGGGCTGCTGCATTTGAGGTGGCACGCCAGCCGAAGGAGGGGCTGCGGCGGAGGATGCGGCACGCCAGCCGAAGGAGGGGCTGCGGCGGATGATGCGGCACGCCAGCCGAAGGAGGGGCTGCGGCGGATGATGCGGCACGCCAGCCGAGGGAGGGGCTGCGGCGGATGATTCGGCACGCCAGCCAAAGGAGGGGCTGCGGCGGATGATGCGGCACGCCAGCCGAAGGAGGGGCTGCGGCGGATGATGCGGCACGCCAGCCGAAGGAGGGGCTGCTGCGGATGATGCGGCACGCCAGCCGAAGGAGGAAGGCCCTGAGGAGGAGGAAGCGAGGGCTGGAGGGCCCTGAGGAGGAGGAGGCGAGAGATGGAAGGCCCTCAGGAGGAGGAAGCGAGGGGGGAGGAGGGCTGCACGGCCCTGAGGAGGAGGAAGCGAAGGGGGGAGGAGGGCGGGAATGCCCTTAGGAGGAGGAAGCGAGGAGGGAGGAGGGCTGGAAGGCCCTGAGGGGGAGGAAGCGAGGGGGGAGGAGAAGTGGAAGGCCCTGAAGAGGAGGAAGCTAGGGGGGAGGAGGGGTGAGTGCCTTGAGGAGGAGGAAGCGAGGGGGGGAAGGAGAGCTGAAATGCCCTGAGGAGGAGGAAGCGAGGGGGGAGGAGGGCTGAGAGGCCCTCAGGAGGAGGAAGCGAGGGGGGAGGAGGGCTGGAAGGCCCTTAGGAGGAGGAAGCGAGGAGGGAGGAGGGCTGGACGGCCCTGAAGAGGAGGAAGCTAGGGGGGAGGAGGGCGGGAATGCCCTTAGGAGGAGGAAGCGAGGTGGGAGGAGAAGTGGAAGGCCCTGAAGAGGAGGAAACTAGGGGGGAGGAGGGGTGAGTGCCTTGAGGAGGAGGAAGCGAGGGGGGGGGGGGGGAGGGCTGGAAGGCCCTGAGGAGGAGGAAACGAGGAGGGGAGTAGGGCTGGAAGGCCCTGAAGAGGAGGAAGCGAGGGGGGAGGAGAAGTGGAAGGCCCTGAAGAGGAGGAAGCTAGGGGGGAGGAGGGGTGAGTGCCTTGAGGAGGAGGAAGCGAGGGGGGGGAGGAGGGCTGAAATGCCCTGACAAGGAGGAAGCGAGGGGGGAGGAGGGCTGGACGGCCCTGAGGAGGAGGTAGCGAAGGGGGAGGAGGGCGGGAATGCCCTTAGGAGGAGGAAGCGAGGAGGGAGGAGGGCCGGAAGACCCTGAGGAGGAGGAAGCGAGGGGGGGTGGGGCGGGAACGCCCGTAGGAGGAGGAAGCGAGGAGGGAGGAGGGCTGGAAGGCCCTGAGGAGGAGGAAGCGAGGGGGGGGGAGGGCGGGAATGCCCTTAGGAGGAGAAAGCGAGGAGGGAGGAGGGCCGGAAGGCCCTGGGGAGGCGGAAGCGAGGGGGGAGGAGGGCTGGAAGGCCCTTAGGAGGAGGAAGCGAGTAGGGAGGAGGGCTGGACGGCCCTGAAGAGGAGGAAGCGAGGGGGGAGGAGGGCTGGGATGCCTTGAGGAGGAGGAAGCGAGGGGAGGAGGGTGGGAATGCCCTTAGGAGGAGGAAGCGAGGAGGGAGGAGCGGGGAGAGGAGGAGGCGGTGGGAGTGTGGAGTGAGTTGGCAGCGGCTAGTAGTCGTGGCCGCGGAGGTGAGAGCGGCGGTGACGTCGTCGTAAGGGTCGCGGTAGCAGCAGGCGGCGTCGATGGTACATCGCGACGGCGTGAGGCCGCGACATGAGACCACGGCGGCTATGTAACGGTGTGGTGGCGAAAGTGATAGCAGCTGTTGCAAGAGGCGACGAAAGCAGGTCGCGTGGGCGGAAGATTGCTCCGCGTCGGCTAAAGGCAGTGGCGGCGGCGGATTGCTCCGCGCCGGCGGAAGGCAGTGGCGGCAGCGGATTGCTCCGCGTCGGCGGAAGGCAGTGGCGGCGGCGGATTGCTCCGCGTCGGCGGAAGGCAGTGGCGGCGGCGGATTAGGTCACAACGAGCGCCCACGTTCGTCGTGGCAGTGGCGCCCGTCCGCGATTTAGGTCACGACGGTCAACGTGGCCGTCCCGTCGGTCGCGCTGATCGTGCCGACGGTCGACATGGCCGTCCCGTCGGTTGCGCTGACCGTCCCGACGGTCGCGCTGGCCGATCCGACGGTCCGTGTGGCCGTTCCGACGGTCGCGCTGACCGTTCCGACGGTCACGCTGGCCGTTGCGACGGTCGCGCTTGCCGTTCCGACGGTCGCGCTGGCCGTTCCGACGGTCGCGCTGGCCGTTCCGACGGTCGCGCTGGCCGTTCCGACGGTCGCGCTGACCGTTTCGATGGTCGCGCTGGCCGTTCCGACGGTCGCGCTGGCCGTTCCGACGGTCGTGTTGGCCGTTCCGACGGTCGCGCTGGCCGTTCCGACGGTCGTGCTGGCCATTCCGACGGTCGCGCTGACCATTCCGACGGTCGCGCTGGCCGTTCCGACAGTCGCGCTGGCCGTTCCGACGGTTGGCGTGGCCGTTCCGACGGTCGGCGCGTTCGTGGGAGAGAGGGGAGGGCCGTGAGAGGCGGAATTGACCATAGGAAGGGGGGGAGGGGCGCTGGAATTTAGCGCAAGGGGAGGGGGGCCGCGACGGCGTAGGAGCGCGCTAGGCGCGAAGAGCGACGTAGTGTCGCGTGAGGGAGGGGGGGGCGTGATGCGGCACGTGGTAGGTGCGGTCCTTAGGATCTAAGATGGTGTGAGCCGTAGTTGCTCTGAATACCATGTGAGAAACTGAAGTGTTGGTTTGATTAGAATGGTGGTGGATACATATAGGAGATGAGAAGTATGGGGAACTAGTTTGGGTACCCGCAACATTATTGGTGAGCCAATAGGAGTGGCCACCAATAATGCTTTGGAGGTAGCTGCCAATTATTGGGGGGCCTGGTTCACCCCGCCAATTATGGCAGAGTGGGGTTGGGACGCGCCCAACCAAAACTGGTTGGGGCGCTTTGGCCCAAGGTGTACACCCATGTTTGGGTGTTACACTTGCACATTTACAACCCAACTGATGCTATAATCTAACACATGTATTTTGGCGCCAAGTCTCACCACCACCACTGCTGCAATTGCCACCCACCCTTATCCCATCTCCCTCTCTTCCCTCATCCCTGCTCCTTCTTGGTGTACCTCCCCCTGTGTGCCAACCAATCACAGGCAGGTGGAGGACCAGGCACTGACCGTGCCCTTGCAGCAAGCCTGCAAGGACGACGTGGACATGTGCCGTGGCTCTTATGCCTGCCACCACTGCGTCTCTCCTCCTCCATCCCTTCTTTTTCATGTTGTGGCTCTCTGTAACCGCAGGCAGGTGGAGGACCCAGCACTGGACGTGCCTCTGCAGCAGGCGTGCAAGGACGATGCTGACATGTACTGTGGTGCCGGGGCGGGGTATGCGGGTAGGGACCACAGCCGCACGCTTTCCTGCCTGCGGCAGAACAGGAAGAAGCTGTCGGCCAAGTGCAAGGCGGAGGAGCTGCGGTTCACTGCCATGGAGGTGGGTGCAGAGCGGTGCAGTGCGTATGAGATGAAATATGTGGGGGCGGGGTATGCGGGTAGGGACCACAGCCGCACGCTCTCCTGCCTGCGGCAGAACAGGAAGAAGCTGTCGGCCAAGTGCAAGGCGGAGGAACTGTGGTTCACTGCCATGGAGGTGGGTGCAGAGCGGTGCTGTGTGTGTGTGCAGGGGAATGTGGGGCCAGGCCGGGGCATGTGGGGAGGGACGACATCTGCATTATTGACCGTACCAATTAGCATATCATCTGCATTATTGACCGTACCAATTAGCATATCATCTGCATTATTGACCGTATCAATTAGCATATCATCTGCATTCATCTCTATTTCCCCCCTTCCCCCTCTCGCCCCCCTCCCCACCCAGCTCACTCATCTTCCCCAATCCCACACTCATGAATGCAGGCAATTAGCTTGGAGCACCTCTTGTTCTGCCATGTCCCATAGCCATATCTCTTCCTCTCTCTCCCGTTACGTCTCTCTCCCGTCACCTCTCTTCCTCTCTCCCGTCACCTCTCTTCCTCTCTCCCGTCACCTCTCTCTCGTCACCTCTCTCCCTTCACCTCTCTCCCTTCACCTCTCTCCCGTCACCTCTCTTCCTCTCTCCCGTCACCTCTCTTCCTCGCTCCCTTCACCCTTCACCATCCGCCTATCACCCACCACCAGGCATTGGACATCCGCCTGACGCCCACGCTCATGAACGCGTGTGGCCTGGAGCTGCACCAGTATGTGCCATAGCGATACGGATCCCTCTATCCTTCCTCTCTCCCGCACCACCAGGCATCGGACATCCGTCTGACGCCCACGCTCATGAACGCGTGTGGCCTGGAGCTGCACCAGTTCTGCCGTGGAGTGCCATAGCCTTGCCGCCTTTTCTCCTTGTTGTCCTCCCACCGCCTCTCTCTCCTGCACCACCAGGTGTCGGACATCCGCCTGACGCCCACGCTGATGAACGCGTGTGGATTGGAGCTGCACCAGTTCTCCCATGTGCCGTAGCCATACATATCATCCCTCTATCCTTTCTATCATGTTCTTTCTTCCACCAGGCATCGGACATCCGTCTGACGCCCACGCGAACGCGTGTAAACCAGAGCTGCACCAGTTCTGTCATGTGCCATAGCCTTGCCTCCTTTTCTCCTCGTTGCCCTCCTACCGCCTCTCTCTCTCTCCCGCACCACCAGGTGTCGGACATCCGCCTGACGCCCACACTCATGAACGCGTGTGGATTGGAGCTGCACCAGTTCTGCCACCCGCCATACTCATATCTCTCCCCCTCTCCTCCCTCTTTCTCCACTCCCTTTTTCTTCACCAGGCATCGGACATCCGTCTGACGCCCACGCTGATGAACGCGTGTGGATTGGAGCTGCACCAGTTCTGCCGCGGAGTGCCGCCCATGGGCGGCCATGCCTTCCGCTGCCTGCAGTGGCACATCCAGGAGGTGAGAGCCGCTGTGCTCTGGTACGAAGCCTTGTTCTGGTCCGAAGTGTGCCCTCTGGTTGTGTGCCGCGCCCAGTGTGTTTCTTCTTGGAGTGCCCCCATAAGCGGCCATGCCTTCCGCTGCCTGCAGTGGCACATCCAGGAGGTGAGAGCCGCTTTGCTCTGGTAGGAAGCATTGCTCTGACATTGCAGTACCACCACACCGACATCGCCTTGCAGCTGCAGTGCAATGTGTGCTCACTGCATTCTCCTTCCTTGACTCCCTTCCTTTCACATTCCCTTCAGTCGGGAATGAGTGTGGCGTGCCGTGCCGAGGTGGACCTGCAGACCATGCGCCAGTCGCTCGCAGTACCACTGCACTGACATTGCCTTGCAGGCTGCAGTGTGACTTACCCGTTTTCCTTTCCCCTCTCTCCTCCTCATCCTCTGCTCCAGTCTGGCATGAGTATGGCGTGCCGCGCTGAAGTCAACATGCAGACCATGCGCCAGTCGCAGTACTACCGCACCGACATTGAATTGCAGCTGCTGTGAGTGAAAGATGTATGCTCACCGCTTTCCTTTCCCTGTTTCCCTCTCAAATCCCCTCCAGTCTGGCATGAGTGTAGCCTGCCGCGCTGAGGTGGACCTGCAGACCATGCGCCAGTCGCAGTACTACCGCACCGACATCGCGCTGCAGCTGCAGTGCGATGCTGACGTGGCGGATAAGTGCAGCGAGGTGGACGAGGCGGCAGAGATGTCAATGGGGGAGGAGACGGAGGAGGGTGACTATGGCCCCATCCTACGCTGCCTGCTGCAGTCCTACCAGACGCTCAAGCCTGCCTGCCAGTCCGAGGTGCGAAGAGCCCTGCTAGTTACAGGTGAGAAGGGCCCTTCTGGTCTAGGTTAGAGGCACAAGGGTGATACCGCAGGCTTTTGAGGCGCCTCAAAGGATGTGGAGGCGGGGACGTCAATGGGGGAGGAGTCGGAGGGCGACTATGGCCCCATCCTGCGCTGCCTGCTGCAGTCGTACCAGACCCTCGAGCCTGCCTGCCAGTCCGATGTGAGAAGAGGCACAAGTGTGATGTTGTAGAGCTTTTGAGGCGCCTCAAAGGACGAGGCGGCTGAGATGTCTATGGGGGAGGAGACAGAGGAGGGTTACTATGGGACCATCCTGTGCTGCCTGCTCGTACCATACCCACTGAGATTAGAAGAGGCAGGCTTACAGGTGACCGATGCGGTTGACCATTCATTCTTAATGATTTTGTGTATTCCCCGCCTACCACTCCAAACGAAACTTGGTGATTGGTATGGAACCATGCCAGACTGCTATCCGCTGTTCTCGTTTCTCCCTCCCCCAATTCCCCACCTAGTCCCAGGTGACCTATGTGGTGCGCAACGCCCTGTGGATGTACCACAGCAACACATCCCTCACCAAGCTGTGCCTCGCTGCTTTCAGCTGTTCTCAATTCTCCCTCTCCCCAATTCCCAACCTCCGCACCAACCTCACTCCCAGGTGACCTATGTGGTGCGCAACGCCCTGTGGATGTACCACAGCAACGCACCCCTAACCAAGCCCTGCCACGCGGACATTGATGCCCTCTGCAACAGCACCAACGTGTCGGGGTTCAGCGAGCACAAGGGAGCAGTTGTGGGGGTGTTTGGGCAGTGCCTCGTGGACACGCCGCTCACTAAGATCTCGGATAAGCAGTGCCGGCAGATGGTGGGCGTGGTGGCAGGCAGTGGCGGGCACGTGGGAGGGCTGGTGAATGAGAATCAGCTTGAGGACACGCTTACGAAGATAGCAGAGGTGGGTTATGGCTGGACCTACAGTGAAAGTGCTCATATTCTCGTTATAACTTTTCTTGTTATTCCATGTCCTCTCATTCTCTTCCAACCTTTCCTCCCCTGATTTGACCGTATGTGTCGCTCTGCCCACCTTCTTTCCAACCTTCAGATCCAGCTGGTGGCTCAGGCTGAGGCAGAGGAGCAGGCAGAGGGCTCTCCACTAGTGCTGACTGGGTGGCTGGCCTTCATTGCCATCACAGCCCTCGCTGCTCTGCTGCTTGGTGGTGGCTTCTTCATCTACCGCCGCTACTTTGACCCCCGCCGCAACTACACTGTGGTTGTCAAGGCTGGTGACGTGTGAAACTGATATTCTGTACAGGATCATAAAGTAACCGTGCATCGGCAAGCCCTTTTCTCGCAACATCTGTCGAGGCTGGTTCCTTGTGGCAGTTTACGTAGGATTGTTGAAGGCCTTGTTGAAGCAGAATGCATGTGGATGCAACAATAGTAAGCTGTAGGGTGGTGTGCAGAACTAGCTAGGGACTTCTACATGGTATAAAGGCTTCAAGCCAGATTGTACACTTGTTGTGACATCCCATCCCACACATATTCAGGTATTACTTCGCCAAAATGAATTCACATCAAAGCACATTGTACAGCAATTAACTAAAGCACACTGAACAGCCATGGTCATAGTTCAGCTGCATCGTCAGTGCCATGCCATGCATGGATTATCCTCATCCTCCTTGCTGGCTATTGAAACTAGCACGCCTGCTGAGGTGCCCTCCTTCCAGGGGTAATGAAAGCGCAGTAGTCAGGGGAACGGCCATACTATCATCATCAACTGGGAACAATTCATCCACTGGAGCAAGCTCGATTTCCACTGCCCTCCTTTCTGTCCCTGCAGCCACAAGACGAATCGTACTAGAAGTATTATAGAGCAAGCACAACCATGCAAAATGACAAAACCACTTTGCCTCATCAAATCATTTTGTGATACGCATCCGGCAAAAAAACGTGAACATGGTACTGTTGTACAGCAACATAGCATTGCTGAGCAGTTGGTTACCAAGAACAGAACTCACCATCAACTGAAGAAGAACTTGGACGATGTGGTTGCGGAGGCGTACTGTTCTGATCCAGCTCCGCAAGACGCGGATGTGAACGGGACGGTGTTGCAAAAACTGGAGTCAAAAAGTTCTTGTCGATTGAAGCGAAGCTAGCCCTGCAGCAGAAGTTTATCAGGAAAAACAATTCATAGAAGTGTTTGAAAAGCAAATCAGTCTTACTTCTCCTTCAGCTGCTGAAACTTCTTCTTCAAATTGCTTTGAGGTTTTTCAGGTGTTTGAGCTACCAGTATCTCCTGCGTCTGCGTATCCTGCAGAATACCGTACATGGTCAAGACCACACACAAACCAACACACACGCATGCACCCCCTCATCTCCCCCTACTTTCCTCCACACACACACAGACACATGTTATTGGGTGCAAAAGGGAGCAGGTCACCTGATCATCGTGTTCACTTCGGACCCCACTGCATTCGATCTTAAGCCACGAAAGCATGTGGGATGTCGCACCACCAATAAACAACACCTGTGCATCATAAGCCATTGTAATAAACAGATGAAGTTGGGCTGAATGGAGCCAGCATACAGTATTTTGCCGTGAAAACAACGAGCTGGATTGCAACTGGGAAGTTTCAAGTCAAAAAAGTTTTCACTCACAGTGAAAGCGATCGTTAACAATGTTGACGTCAAAATAACGCGGCCATATTCATCAGGAAGATCAGTAATAGATTGCAGTGCGAGGGCAAAGGCCATGGCTCCACGAAGCCCTGGAGCAAAGAATTGGGGTATAGTGGACAGATGTCAACTTTATGATGGAAAAGTCCGAACTGCGGTACAGCTAGATCAACGACAACATACCGCTGAACCACAATGCATGCTGATGATTCATTGGTATTCTGCTTTGCTTCTGGCGAAAAGCATTGACAATGTATGCGAGGGGATATATGTTGAACACCCTGAAGGAGAACGTCCTCATTAGCAAGGCGCTATTTTGAACCAGGTGAAGCAGAAGGAAATATAATCAAACACCTTGCAATAAGAATAGCAAACTGCGAGACAATCAGATGTCAGGTCAGAGAAACGAGCGAGAAGAAAAATCAGACGAAGGAAAATCAAAGAGCCTTACGATAGCAAACAGAGTAAATCTGTAGCTTCTCCAACTTTGTTTCTCCAAGAACACCGCGACTCCCATGTATATAAAGCTGCGTACATAGGTGTACTCAAGCGTTTGCTAACTCAACTGAAACAGCGGAAAATGGACATGACCATACACGAAAGTTTCGGATAACTTTGCAAGGATGGAGAAGAAGCTACTTGTTGTGGCCAACGCCTTCTCATTCAGATGTGGAGCTGTGTAGTATCTCATTGTCTGAAACATTGAATCAATCAGTGAACTCTCCATGAGGAAAATTTGCAAACGCATTAACTCACCATTCCCGCGAAAAGGATGGCAACGATACCAGATAATTCAAAGGCATCAGCGAGCATGTACGCCATATAGGGGAATAGTGAAAGCAGGCAGGCTTGCAACAAAGCGAGACTGCACAAAGTAGGACCACCAGGTCAACAGACTGCACCAAGACGAATTGACATTAAGAAAGTTGTGTAGCAATCTTACCCATCATCTTCAAAACCGCAATGCTTGAAGACAAGGGCACTCAACAAGCCCAAAATCACTCCTGCAATGAAAAGGATGTACTTCAGCATAACAAAAAAAGGCCAGCATAAATACAAAACGGGTATACTCTTACCTATCGAGAACGAACCAATGAAATTGGCTAAGAAAAAAGAAATAGCAAACCATATTCCCCTGCCGTCAACCTTGGTTGTCACAAATGACAACATGGTCCTGTAGAGTACAATTGCGACCTACAGGTACAACATATTCATGGATTAGCATCTGATACGAAAAATCGCCTAATCCACTTCAATTCAGGTGCATCTTACTGCATCATTGAGCACAGATTCTCCAAATACTTGAGCGTAAAGGGTGCGGTCAACACCCAATTCCTGCAAACGCACAGCAGCGCTCATCAGATGTGTCCCAACAGTAAAAGGATCATAGCATCAAGTAATGGTGTACCTGGAAAACTGCAAGAACCGATACTGGATCAGTTGCTGATATTAAGGCTCCAAAGGCAAGGCACACCATAATAGGCATGGCGTGAGCAGCATGCAATAGTCCAACAAAATACCTGTACAAAATATCAACGAGACATCAATCCGTGATTAAAGGATTGTGATTATTCAAAATGAATACAAAAGCGAGAAAAAAAGAAAAAAAAAAAAAAAAAAAAAAAAAAAAAAAAACTTGCAAGCACAGATCAAGCTGAGCAATTAACGGGCTCACATGAAGCATCCCACCACCAAGGTCGATATGAGCGTCCCAGCAAATGCGAATGTACAAATTGCTCCAAAGTTGTTAAAGAATGGTTTCTGAAACAGTGATTGGGTGTTAGCGACTGACAGCCAGTAGTAACGAGCAAGCTACGCCCAACACTTACCGTCTTCAAGCTCCATCCCGACTCAGTGGAATGTCAAAATGGTCAAAACGGTTAAGGAAAAAAAAAAGGTTTTGCGCAAACACAATTGAGAAGAGAGTGGTCACGTATAAAGCAATAAGAGACTCCAAGCTTGGAGCGTAAGTGCGGATGAGGAAGGACATGCGTGCGTAGTCTACAAGGCAAGGCGAAGAGAGCAAGATACTAAGGCGTAATGGCGGAAATTTAAACAGATTTAAGGACACAGACGACGTGAAAAGGATATAATATTATCGGCGGTAGCAGGAAATAGAAGAAGAAGTTATTGTTGAAGTTAATCCATTCCCTGTGAAAACAAAGTATGTCGGAGTTTGCACGGTTGAAATCAAACAAGAGTTATGAACGCGGACTTACCGGAACTCCGAACCATGGCGAAGGAACTTCACAACCAGCCCTACTAGCACACCTGGAGAAAATAGCGCGTTTAGGAAGAATATAAACGAGAGCAAACTCACTTTAATCGGCATACCAAAGGCTAACGCTGCGCCAGCTTCAGGGATTATAACTATTTTCTTCCGTCTAAGACCGTGGCCCACCAAAAGAGCGATCGCTAGCATAACCAGCTGAACCAGCAATGAGACGCTAGCTATGTAAGATGCGCCTTTGGGAGCCATCGGAACGGGGATTTCACCGCACGGAACCATTCCCGTTGTGAAAATGCTAACTTCCGTGTCGTTTGCACTCGGCGCGCTGACATCCGTATCATTTCCTAGGGTCAAGTTGAACCCAGATGTATCCATGGCGACGAATGTCAGGAACGCAAGAGTGGGAATGCAACCAAGATTACCTAGTTGTAAAGCTGGACACTAACGTATGTGTTATGCATTACCAAGGTATGTGTTATGCATTTGAAGCAGAATAGCAGGTGCAACAATCAAGCTTTCAGGAAGCTACCGTTTCAAGCAAGCCGAAAGGGCTGGAGGATGTGGCCCAGGATGTCGGCACTGACGAGTCAGATTTTGGAGGGAGAGCGCAGTGCAACAGAGCGGTTTGTTCAGCTGAAAGGTGGGTGGGGTGAGTTGCATTGGGTTTGTCAGTCCAGCAAATTGCGAAACTCGTCGGAGAAAGTTACCGTGCGAGGTTGTCGCTTGAATTTGAATCTCCAGTCCATCACGATTATCACCCCACCATCACACCCTAGATTGTGCCACGACTTTCCTCCTGCCTGCGCCACACACAGCGAAACGTTAGCTCGCACCGCGTGCAGTATGTGCTTCATCGTCGGAGTGATCTGTGACTCCATTTCGTTGGCAAAGGAAGCGCGTAGTCTGCTGCACCGTGTTTCTTGTTGCAAGCAGGTAGCATATCACAGATCCAAACTTCAATAATCAAATAGCATTGCAACAATATTTACTTCGATGGCGTCGTCTGGAAAGGATAAGATCAACATACTTGGTGACGCACAGGTCGATCAGCTCGACAGGGATCTTCGCGAGTTTAGAAGGGATCTGGGCACGTTAGCCGATAAGCAGATCGCCAAGCAGCACGACGCCGCGCGGCGCGATTCGGCGACAGTGTGTACGACCCAAGGTGAGGCATCAATGCTTGGGCTCTGGTTGTTGAAATGTCCACATCTACAAGTGAGTTCGCACTTTTCGAGGTGTTGCCTAATCTGAAGCATGGGGTATACCCACGTTCACGATTCTTATACACTATGCCGTAATCGTCGCCTTCTGACGCAGATAAGCTAAACGAATTGAGGCAATTGGAGCAAGATTTTTTGGCTGAGGAGCAGAGGATCTTGAAACGTAAGCATCCCATATTGCAAAATTCACAACTTCTGTTTTTCGAGAATGGCCGGGAGAGCAAGCTGTTCGTGCCATAAAGAGCACTTGTTGCAAGCTGTCAGCCTGCTTGTAGGTGTCACTTCCAGTCCAAGTTGCTTTTGTGTCCCCACCTCATGTCTGGAATCGTTGGCCTCTTGTGCACCTCTCCGTCCCCTCCGCTCACCCCAGAGCAAGAGGAGCAGCAGGATGACCTGGACCACCAGTGTGAGGAGATGGCAAGGCTGGGGCTGCAATGCTGGTGCCTCAGCTACAGAAGGCGAAGGATTTTGTTGCAGAATTGGAGGCGGACGTGCAGGCAGAGGATGAAGGTGAGGGGAGTGATGGGACAGCGGGTGATTTTTTTGCTCGGACGCGACAGTTGCGTATCAATCACCACCCACCTTTTCAACGCTTTAAATTTGTTTGTTTTTTATGCACAGCTCTCGAGAACGCAGAGGAGGTTCAGCAACAACGCATCGATGCCCTGCTGTCAGTCGTGATAAAGTTCAGAGAAGCCTTTGGCCTTCGCTTCGACCCCACTCTTGGTGCGTTCTCCCCGCACCTTCATTTCTCAAGTCTGGTGCATTTCTTGCTTGGCATTCTACAAAACCTCTCCACCCTCACTACCTTCCTCGCTCTCTTTTGTTCCCTTCCTCTTGATGATTCCTCTCGTGCCTCCCTCTTCTGACTAATACCATCCCATTCTCTTTTTCTCTGTGGAGCAGGTACACCCTCATTACACACGCAAAACAAACGCATTTGCATTGCACATTCATCACCACTACCTCCCTCGCTTTTTCTTTTGCTCTTTCTTTCACTGATTCTGCTTGTACACCCCCTCTTCCCCAAAGCTATTCCATTACCTTTCGTTCTGTGGAGCATTTACACCCTCGCCACACACACAACACACGTGTTAGCACATTCACCCCCGCTACTTCCCTCGCTCCCTCTTGACACCCTTTTCTGTCCAGAGGTATTCCGTTGTCTTCTCTCTGTGGAGTATGTACACCCTCAAGACACACACAAACGCATTTGCACATTCACCCACTTAGTCACGGATCTGCACTTGCAAATAAGCATTCACGTGCTAAAATGTGACCGTCTTTCCTTTGTTGTGTACCATGACCCTTGTCTCCAGATGGCTTGCTTCGAATGACCTTTACAAAGATAGATCCCCTGATGCCCGAAAGGCAGTTCATTGCCCTGCTGGATATGGGCGGGGACAGGGACAAGAGCTTTCGAGGTATGTGAAGTGATAGGAAAGGGTGCAATACGATTTATTGCAGATAGAGTTTAGCGGGAGCCAATAGGCTTTTCATTGTTCCTGTCTCTCCCCACGTTCCCCACGTCCCTCACCCCCATTTCATCATTTCATCCACTATTTTGACCAGCATCCAACTTTTTTCCCTTATTCCCATTAAACTGCAATATCCGTGCAGTGGTGAGCAGTGACCCATCCATTCCAGGCTTGGCAGAGGCAGTGCAGCCAGCAGGAAGCGAAGGCGACCTGAGAGCATTGTTCAAAGGAATACACACAGAGTTCAAGAATGCTGTTGCTGAGGGGTTGTAAAGCACAAATGAAGCCAACTACAGCAAGGCAATGTTGCAGGGCCTTCGGAGGTGACACGTCATTATGACCAACTATGACGATTCTTGAAGCGCCTCAGACATGAAGCCCGTTGCAGAAAGGCAGTGTTGCAGGCCACTCTGAGGTGACGTGATGATGGCCAGCTATGAAATGAAGTTACAGTGGTGAAAGTGGTCCACAAACTTGTACATAGGCATGCATCATCCTACAGGATTTGAAAGCAGAAGCGCCACACAATGACTACATGTGAAATATTAGACTGTTTGCCAAGCGTCTTCTATATTCTTTCTGCTCATAAACTCTCCAGACACACAAGCAGCCCTAAGCAACTTGTTCCTCCTGCCCCTCTCACTTCAGGTTTGGCTTGAGTTTCTGAGTGGGGTACAATTGCATCTTTGTTCCCATCTCAAATGTTGTACAAGTGAAGCATTTTCCTGGATGAGCATTGACTAAAAAAACCATTCCCATATATACCTAAAACAACTTGAGCTACAGCCTCTAATCACACCATGCCAGAGCCATCCCTTGGGGAGCACTCCAGGCCAGAGCCATCCCTTGGGGAGCGCTCCAGGCCAGAGCCATCCCTTGGGGAGCGCTCCAGGCCAGAGCCATCCCTTGGGGAGCGCTCCAGGCCAGAGCCATCCCTTGGGGAGCGCTCCAGGCCAGAGCCATCCCTTGGGGAGCGCTCCAGGCCAGAGCCATCCCTTGGGGAGCGCTCCAGGCCAGAGCCATCCCTTGGGGAGCGCTCCAGGCCAGAGCCATCCCTTGGGGAGCGCTCCAGGCCAGAGCCATCCCTTCGGGTGCGCTCCAGGGCAGAGCCATCCCTCGGGGAGCGCTCCAGGCCAGAGCCATCCCTTGGGGAGCGCTCCAGGCCAGAGCCATCCCTTGGGGAGCGCTCCAGGCCAGAGCCATCCCTTGGGGAGCGCTCCAGCCTAGAGCCATCCCTTGAGGAGCGCTCCAGCCCAGAGCATCCTTTCAGGAGCGCTCCTGACCATAGCCATCCCGTGAGGAGCGCAGAGGGCTTGATGCCAACCTGGGGGAGCACACTCAAAGCACATCCAAACGGCATTGCAGCAGATGATCGATCACCCTTCCAACCCCACCAGTTTCCCAACCCACTCTCCCGAACACCCTGACGAGCAGGGTGCAAAAAAGGGACCCACCAGCATCCCACTTCCCCAACCTCCCAACCACCTCCCCATTGTTGCAATCTGCTCGAGGCCCTGCTTCTGTGATCTCCTCCTTCATCCCGCTGGAGTATGCCTGTGCTTTTCTCTTTTTATTTGCATTTTTTTTCCTTTTTTTTTTTCGTTTGTTTGTTTGTTTGTTTGTTAGTTTTGCCCAGGAGGAAATCCACAGGGGGTTGCCCCAAGGAAGGTCCCTCTTTTTCATATGACTCGGGTGGAGTCTTGGTAGATCAGCAAGTTGAAGGTTGGAGCTTGCAGCGAGTCACAGCGGCGCTTACGGCCTCCACGGACGCCATGAGCTCGCAGCCAGCACCACCTTGGACGATGATCCGGCACGCGCCTTCTTCGCAGCCGCGGGAATGGCATTAGTCCTGTCTTCGTGCTGCTTTGAGCCGTTGGAACTCCTTCTGCTTCGCACCAGCCTCTCTGCTGCAGCGGCTCCTGCGGGTCTAGGAATCAACGACGTCCCCTCCGCGCGGCTTTTCAAGATCATTCGTTGACCGCTTGGTTTCGGGATACGAGACGGTGTCAGCTGTGAGGTAGGTACGGATTACGTCGATGCCTTACCCGAACCGGCTGCTGCTACAACCATTACAAGAACTTCAGTCGGCAACAGTGGTGTTGCTTGTTCGGACGTCAGCGATTCCGACGCCACTGGCTCCATCGTTACCGCCGGGTCTGTCGAAACCGCTGGTACTACAGACGTCATTGGATCCGATGCGTAACGATCTAGCATCGTCGGACCCGAGAATGCCGGATCGGATGTCTCCAATGCCGCCTGGCTTATTTTGCTCGTGTTGCTGGAGAAGGTCAGAGGTTGAAGCAATGTTTCGGTCCGCTCCAGACTCTTCCAGAAACTAAGAGCATCCACAAAGGACGGGTAATCAGATGCTAAGGCCATAGCAGCGAAAACGAGGAGTTGAGTGAGAATCCTGAAGCTGATCCCAAGGCTGGAGCTTGAAGTGGTGTGTATGTACCCAGGGAACAAACTCGTACAGCTACTGAAATTCCTCGGCTGTGGTTTTGCACGCAAGGGCTCCTAAGCAGGAAGGAGGAGGGGGGGCGAAAGTAAATGACGAGGGTTCCTAAGCAGTTTCCCTGTCGAAATCACTCCCACCCCGCTACAACCGAAAGCGCGAAACTTCTGGAGCTGGGAAGGAAGTTGCCGACGGTAATTGACGCATTTACCTGCTCAATTTCGCGCCCCATAGGCATGGGTACATCGAATCGATCAACCCTAATGAGGAGTGTAAAACATTGCCGGGGAGTTCAGCGTTTGAAAAACGAAAGGCAAACCTCCAACCCATTTTCCCAACCACTTCGTGCAAGATGGCTCGGCCTTGTTTTTCACGAGCGGGTTGTTCTTGAGAGGATGGTGTAAGCGCGACGTTGGTGCATGTCCATCTAGGGTAGAATGTGGGTGTCCCCCTCCCCTGCACATCCCTCCCAGGTCTCTCGCCACGCTCTGAAAAAGCGGTTTTCGAAGGGCGGGGCGAGTGGCTTGATTTTTGCCCGAGAAGGAAGGTGGGGAGGGGAAGTTGGTAGTTTCCTAGGAGCCTAAACCACAGAGGGTAAGTGGCTGTTCTGTAGCCATTTCCCCTCGAACAGGTTCGGAGGGGAAATGACTGGCTCGGCACCGTTTGCTGAACGGTTAGCCGTTCCAAACCAAAAAACGAAGGAGAGGGAAGCTACCTATTTCCCCTCGCCCCCCCACCGCCAGGGCCTACAGAACAGAGCCAAGGAGCAGAGTCGGGGAGGGAACTGGAGGGAAAAGGGGGAACCCATGACTTCGCTTGGGGAGGCTTGCTTCGTTGGTCTGGCTTGGGAATCGATAGGTCTTGTCGCGAAACCAACCTGTCCGAGCCTAGTGCCCCGCAAAGTTCGAGGGGCTGCCCAACGTTGTTCCTGCTGAACATTGTTCCGTCGTCTGGGCTGCCCTGTGCGACTCATCCGTGCCTTTTGCAGGACGGACAGCCGCAGATTATGAAACGTTTCCGATGTCTGACCGTAAGCGATGTTTTTCCTCGTATTGCACTGCCAACATAGCATCTTGGGCAGAGAGTCGAGAAAATCGGGGCAGCCAGTCAACAGTTTTGGTGAAGCACGCAAGCCACTCTGCACTGCCCCAAGCCTAAGCGCCCTCCGAAAGCTTCGATCTCAAGGCTTGCGCCAGGTCCCTGAACCTTCGGCACCGAACCTCGCTGCCTCGGTTACTCCGTTCAAACCAAACCGTGTTTCGGCCTGTTTGAGCACTGGTTTGAAATTAGTACAGTATTTTGTATTTATTATAACATTTCATGCTTTGCCCAAGCCTCTCATGCCCTAGCGAGGTTCGGTGCCGAGGTCCCCGTTTTTTAGAGTGTATTACCCCTCGGGGGGGGGGACAGGGAAGGATGCCGTGGTGACAGGAGTAGCGCAGTAGCCGGCCAGGAGAACGGGTAGTTGCTCCTAGCGGCCATGAAATTCACTGGAACTCCTGCGGCACCGACGGATCCTTGCCCTCGACGGTCAAGATAGACAGTGGCCTCCCTCCCCCCGGGTGGCGGACAGCTTTTGCTGTCGTCGCATTTAATGCGTAAGTCACTTGCACGGCGTTTTCGTCAATTTCGGAGTTAACACTGTGTGGCAGCTGACGTCGAAGGGAACGTCGTCACTGCACGTCCGAGATCGACGGAGATGATCGTCGTGCGAGTTATGTCAGCACGTGGTCGACAACTGCGCGCGACAATTTCGGAGATAACGCGTGCGGCACGTGGCGTCGGACGATTCCGTCATGTTGCGCATGATAATTTCGGAGGTCTTCGGCACGTGGTGATCGTCGTCACTGTGCGCGAAGATTTCGGGTGTCTTCACGGCAGAACCGACAGCTGGTCGGGCAGGCCAGGCGCATGGTGATTTGCGTCGGAAAATGCAACGGCGAGGAGAGACGGCGCGACGACTGCCCGAAGAAAGCGGGGGTCTACCGTCGTCCAGCCCGGGTGTGGCCGGTGTGGCTGCAGGAGGGTGCGTCGTTGGCGTTTTCGGCAGGAGCGGCACAGTGTGGGACGGAAGTCGTTTTTCAATCCAACGAAAAGTTCGAGAAAAACCGCCTACGACTAGACTGTCTATCGCTAGGGTCACTGCTGCACCTGCACCACGATCGGCGAAATTTTCGGAGCAACAAGCAGCAACCGACACTGTACTTCAAGCGGCACAGTACCCCCTGATCAAGGGTAGCTGCGCCGCAGACAGGGCAGTACACCAGCGGGACAACGTTTCGGCGCAGTGTTTAGACCCGCGATTTTCGGGGGTTCTACCGGCTACAATACACGGAGTTGCGTCGAGATCGGGTTTAGCGAGAGAAACGGGCTTCGAGCTTCAGGAGGCGAGAATCACGACCCACGGGGAAACGCTCAAGCTGATGCCTAAACGTTTTGCGGCTAAGCGGCGGTAGCCGGATGGGTACCACTACCGGCCGAGGTTTCCGGACGTTTCACATACCTCACGCCAAGAAGGCCTCGACGGCAACGTGTAAGTCCTATTGGCCACTGGATCCAAAGGTGGGGCCCTGTGTTTAGCCCTGTGCTGGCTAAAAAGCGCGGGTATTGCGCCAGTTCGACAGCTGGGCGTACAAGAAATTTTCAAAGAGGCCGCACTGTTTCGGCCCCGACAAAACCGGACCATCGGCAGCAGTTACCCCGCCGAAAAAGTCGGAGCTGAAATAGTTGGTGCAGCTGTCGGAGTTTCTCCTAGTTCAAGGGTCTACCCGTCGGCGGTGTAGCGGCGAAGAAGGGGTTTCCGAAGCTGTGGACTTTTAAATGCGATAGACGCGGTGGGCAACGAAGCGGCCGGCCCGACTGTTTGATCCGATAAACATGATCCGGCTACGATAGCGTTCGCGCCTTCACCGAATGTCAGAAAAATCGCGGGCAACACGGAGTTCTACTTTATCCGACAAAAGCGGACGCTGGGTGAACGGCGGCAAGCGAAATTGTCGGGGGGTGAAGACAAAAAAAAAAAAACAAATGGAGGGAAATTTGTGGGTGCTCCAGCAGATCTCCAGAGTGAAAGGTTGAGCCCGTACACCAATCCACCGCGAATTTCGGAGTCTATTCGGTAGACCCCCGAAAGGGTTTGATATTGTTACATGGAGGCGCGGCGAGCGGTGTATCGCCAAGGATACCTGGGATTCGCTAAGTAATTTCCATGGGTGCGAAGACGGGTGAACGTCAGAGTACCAGGGTTAATGGCGGAAACGTCGGGGTTACGCGGCGGAAAATACTTCGGGACTGCTTCAACAACCATGATTTTCGGGGTTCTTTCCTACGGTGGGAGACGGGTGAACGTCTGCTCGCCAGCTGTTTCAGCGGTTTACGGTGTACTTTGAAGCCATCTGGGGAAATTCTTCGGCGAGATCTGCGGCGTCGATGCGGGCTAGGTTCCGTAAAATTCGGTCCCGGTAGACCCATGACTCTGGGTTCCGCACGAAAGAGCACCTCCTGTTGGTGGGTTGCTAGTGTGGTTAACCACGGAGAGAAAAATGGCGACGGATGGGCACGCTAGATATACCGGTTCTTCAAGGGGATAACCTGCAGGTGACCAAGACGTACGAGTATTTTTCGGTACCGACATTTACGGAGAGAACGAGTTCGGTTTTACAAGAGTTCGGCGGTGAAGGCCGACAATTTCGCGACAACGGCGGAGTAGCAGTGGCGCTGGGTTAAGCGCGCAAAAAAACTGCCGTGGTGACTTCTTAGCGGCAAAATCGGTGGAGGTTCAGGGGTACCAGCCGCAACACAGGTGCAAATTATCGAAGCAGGTTGGGGGGAGGAAGGACAGTTTTTTCGCCTCTGCCCCGAAGTATTCGGCGATACACGACAACATCGCCGAGATAGCTGACGTCATCGAAAGTTCGAGTTGCAACTTTGGAAAACTATTTGCGAGGTCAGGGGGAAGAGCAGCAGCTGTTTTCGACCCTGCCCGGGAGTTTTCGGAGCAACGCGACAAATGTCTCGGCGAGTATGGACAAGACTGCCGGGGGCGCCGACAACTGGAACCATTACAGCGAAGATTTTGCCACAGAAACAAGCCAAACAGCAGCAATTTCGGGAATGCAGCTGCTGACAACTGACGATTCGGCAGCAGTAAAGTGATTTGATACTCCCATGCGGGGAATTCCGAGGTGGCGGTCACGACAGGTGCTGCAGCAACAGTCGCGACAACAAGACAACAACAAGATTTTAATAATGCCGACTCCCTGCAAAAACGATATTCTTTCGAGGGGACTTCGACAGAGTTTACCCTGGGCATTTTTCGGAGCTTTCGACAGTGAAGATTTCGCCACCGACAGCAATTTACACCACACAGCGGCTGAATTTCAGGCGGGAAGTCATAACACTTGGTATTCTCTTCTACCCTCAGCGTTAGGGTGGTTGTGATTTTGTGTCCGCGCAGCTGTGCCCATTTTGGTGGGCAGCAGCTATCTTCCAAGGGGGGGGGGGGGGGGGGAAGAAAGAGTGCTCACGCACTGTTCTCGACAGGTCTCTGACATTTCGGCAGCTATTTCTGACAGCTCATTTGACACACCCCGCACGACCGATGCACGCGATGGCTTGATCGGCATCGACGGCACCAGATTCTTCGATCTCTGACAACGCGTCAGAATTCCCGCCGACATTGCGTTGATCAGGACCATCCGATATACATCCACGACATCGATTGCTTCCCTTCGTCGATGGATTTCCAACTCGACATTCGCTTTCAACCGCCCGATCGACATCGGCAGTATCAACGGCTGACATCCCAACTCTTTGAAATTCGCCTGGTCAACGCGCCCTCTTAGAATACTAGCGTAAGCATGATGCATTGGAAGAAACAGTTGGGTACAAGTAGCTAACCCTAGTTGGGTTTGTACCCTGTATTGGCTACCCCACTACAGCCTACCCACATATATATAACACAGTACAACTTAACACACCCCCATAGGCAAAGTGGGGGAGAGCAAAGGGTCACAAGACCAGTCCAGCAAAGCAAAACAAGCCCAGGGTGGATCACAACGTCACCACACTCCGAGCACAAGCAAAGGCCACAAGGCCAGTTCACATGCAGTGCTAGATATAGAACAGGACAAGCAGCAAGATATATATAAAGTACAGTACAAAGAAAGTCAAGCAGTAAGCAAATGAGGAAACGTGGACACAAGGCCTAAAGAAGTACAGTGCCGCTGATGATCACTAGGCGGGAGCGCCTTGGTGAAGATATCAGCAGTGTTGGCCTTCGAGTCCATGTACACAAGCCGAAGCTGACCGCGCTGCTGAAGCTCTCGAGCAAGAAAGTAGCGAAGAGCAATGTGCTTCGTCCTGTGCTCCAGTCTGTGCTCCTGAGGGCCGCCTTGTTGTCACCGTACAGAACTGGAGGAGAACTAGGCCGCTCTCCCAAGTCAGTCAGCAGGTAGGTGAGCCAGCGTAACTCCTGTGCAGCCATGGCCGTGGCGTAGATCTCAGCCTCACAACTAGAGCCGAGAACAGAAGAAGAGCGGGTGGACCGCCACGAGACAGAACCAGAGCCAAGGCTGAAGGTGTAACCCTGTGACGACCGCTGCGTAGCCAGGTCGTCCACCCAAGAAGCGTCCGAGTGACCAGTGAGGACAACTCTGTCGCGTCCTCCAAGCACCAGCCCCATGCCTGATGTACTGCACAAGTAACGCAGCACCCTCTTAGCAGCCTCCCAGTGCTCTCGCCTGTGTCTCCCAGGCGCAACGTAACGAGCAAGGATGCTAAGAGGGTACGCGAGGTCAGGTCGCGTGCAAGTCATCAGGTACATGAGGCAGCCTACAAGCTCTGGGTACGGGCCACTCGGCTCTACGGACTCGTCCGAAGGTGGAGCTGAGAGCGAGTGGCTGGTAGCCAGAGGTGTGGCCTGTGGTGAGGAGAACTGGAAGCCGAAGCGCTGAAGGACCTGCTGCACCATGTGTGACTGAGTCAGGGTGATGGTGCGGCGTGCTCTGTCCCGGGTGATCTGCAAGCCAAGGTAGCTACGCAGCTCACCCAGGTCAGTGCAGGTGTGTCTCTTCTGTAGCTCCGACTTCACACGAGCGAGTGCCTCAGTGTCAGCAGTAGCAAAAACCAAGTCGTCGACGTACACGAGGATGTAGAACGGCGGCAGCGACGTGTCTGTGCGCAGGAACAGTGACGGGTCAGCAGTGGAAGGAGCAAACCCAAGGGCCGCAAGTGTAGTCCTCAGTGTGTCGTGCCACTCGCGCGGTGCCTGGCGGAGACCGTAGACTGGCCGCCGGAGGCTCCACTGGGTACCAGGAGGAAACGACCCAGTAAAGCCAGGTGGGCGGCGCAGCCAGATCTCCTCATGCAGGCTGCCCTGCAAGAACGCTGTGCTGAAGTCAAGAGAGTGAAGATCGTAGTCACGCTGAGCAGCAACGTGCAGCAGAACCCGAAGAGTGGTCATCTTCGGGGTGGGGGAGAAGGTCTGAAAGAAGTCAACCCCCTGACGCTGACTGAAGCCTCTAGCAACGTAACGAGCCTTGAAGACAGGTGGAGAACCTGGCGGCCGCTTCACCCTGAAAATCCACATGCCATCGACGATGTTCGCCCCAGGAGGGGGAACCTCGTCGACGTAGGTGCCTGTGGACTTCCAGGATGCCATCTCTGCGTCCATGGCTGTCTGCCACTGAGAGGAGTAGGGACCCGAGATCGCCTCTGCGTAAGAGCGCGGAGTGGGGATGTCTAGTGCATCCGGGTCTCCCTCAGGGGCAAGCAACCAGGCCACGAGATGAGGTACAGCAGCCGCAAGAGAGTCAAAGTCCTCCTGCCTGTCCTCAAGGACGTCCGTGCCAAGAGCACACTCACCCCCGACGGACGGAGGACAGACAGACTCAGACCCAGCAACAAGACTGGCGGCGTAGTCTAGACGACAGGCAGCAGCAAAGTCGACAAGCTCAGCGACCAGGGCAGACGCAGCAGAAGACTCAAACGACGGGTCAGTGACAACAGTGGCGAGAAGACGCGTAACAGTAGGGTGGGCAGCACGAACACTGTCAGACTCAGGGTCGGGAACGTCAGGAAGAGAAGACGCAGGAGGAGACGGTAGGGGGACACGCTGTGGACCAGTGGAAGGACGAAGGGCCATAATATGCGTGCCAGGAACAGGAGGAGGACGCGGACGCGCGACACGACGACCAGTGGGACCAGTGCGAGCAGTGCGAGTAGCACGAACAGGCGAGGCAGGACGAGACACAGGCTCACGACGCTCCGTAAGCGAGTCCGGCAGTGCAGTGTAAGGTACAGGAGCAGGGAGGGGGGAGCCAGGCTGGAGGGGAAGGCCAGTGGAAGACGGGAGGGAAAGAACCTGGCGAAGCACCAGTCACGAAGCTGCTGCGGAGTGAGAGACTGCTCAGCACCCCGAACCGGAGCACCCCCAGACGCAGCAACCCCAGGCTCCGTAGGCTCAGTCGCAGTACCCCCAGGCTCAGTGCCCCCAGGCGCAGCACCCCCAGGCTCAGCACCCCCAGACTCCGTACACGCAGGCTCAGCACCCCCAGTCGCAGCACCCCCAGGCTCAGCACCCCCAAGCTCCGAACTCTCAGGCACAGTACCCTCAGCTCCAGCACCCTCAGTCCCAGCACCCGCAGCCGCAGCACCCCCAGGCCCAGCACCCGCAGGCTCAGCACCCCCAGGCTCAGCACTCCCAGCAGCACCACCTGCAGCAGCACCTGAGTCACCTGTGACCTCGACAGGCTCAGCGACGGGAGGAGGGTCTACCTGAGAGACACCTGAAGGAGCAGGACCCTGAGGGGGAAGGGGGTCTACTGGAGGGGGACCAGGAGCGAGGAAAAGCGGCGGGGGAGGGAGGGGGGCAGTGCGGTAGGGGAAGAGACGGTAAAAAGGGACCGACTCGTCAAAGGTGACGTCCTGAGAGGCGAAGACCCGGCGCGAGGTGGGGTGGTAAAACTGCCAGCCAGGCGCGTCAGGGACAAAGCCAAGGAAGACACAGGGAAGCGTGCGGGAGGAGAGCTTGTCCGCGGACGTATCGCGGACAAGGGCACGAGCACCCCACACCCGGAAGCGCGACGCATCGCCAACCTCCCCCGTCCAACGCAGTGTGGGCGAGGTCTCCGGCAAGGAGACACGGGGCCAGAGGTTGAGCTGATGCGCGGCGTATCGGACAGCAAACGGCCACAGAAAATGGGGAGCCGCCGCATGGACCAAGGAGGTACGAGCGACCTCCATGACCAGGCCAATGCGGCGCTCAGCAACCCCATTCTGCTGTGGGGAGTCCGGAAGCGTGAAGGTCTGCTCGATGCCCTCCGCCTGACAGAAGGTCCTCAAGAGGTCGGAGGAGAACTCACCACCTCTGTCAGAGTGCAGACGCAGGACAGGAAGATCTGTCCGGAAACGGCGGCGGAGCTGGAGACGAACTGTGCGGATCCAAGGGATCAGAACAGCAGGGACCTCACCCTTGGTGCGCAAGGGGAAGACCGTGGTGTAACGCGAGTAGTCGTCGACAACCAGCAAAAAGTACCGCTCACCGCCCTGGCCACGAACGCGGGCTGGGCCCCACACGTCCAGGTGGAGGGTCTGCAGAGGAGCCTCTGTCGGGGGGAACGAGGAGGAGTGAGGAGTGGCGCGCTGCCGCCCCTCGACGCAAGGAAGGCAAGGCGGCGCAGGCGAGGCAGGGAGGGGAGGGAGGGACCTGGGAAGACCAGACACAAGGTGGCGACGGTGCATGCCACGGAGGCGTGGCAAGGAGGGGTGGCCCAGGCGGTGGTGCCAGAGAAGAGTCTGGTGCGACAGGGAACGACACTCACAGGCGTGGGCTACCAGACCTGACGCGGACACCTGACCGACAGCAGCGACCTGAGGAGACGCAGTGGACAGTGTGTAGAGACTCGACCCCGGCTGACGGGTAAACGTAGCCAGGTGACGGCCAGTCCTGGAGCACGTGAGGATCGCCACACGCTGTCCTCCAGGAGTAAAGGTGTCAACCCACTGATCCTGGATGACAGCGTTGCTCACCAGGTTCGTCGAGAACGAGGGGAGGTGGAAACCCGACAACGAGCCAGACGGAACCGCCGGACACGGGAGCACAGTGGTGGACCGTGCAAGGACTGGGCCCCCCGAGGGGTCAGCCAAGGAGACTGGGACCGGTGCAGGAAGTGGAGTGAGCTCAGTACTGTCACGAAAGAAACAGCGGGAAGCACCTGAGTCAAGGGTGAAGGTGTGCAAGGCCTCAGCCGGTGCAGTACCTGAGAGAGCAGTCTCTGTGGGTGCTGTACCTGAGAGAGCAGACTCACAAGCAGTAGGGACAGTACTGGAGGGAGCAGCCACAGAGGGCACCAGACCAGAGAGAGCAGACTCACTAGTACCCAGGGCAGCGGGCTCTATACCTGGGTCAGGCGGCACACACAAGTAACAGTCTCCCTCGGCACTAACAGTCAATGCATACATGGCAGCAATAATAGCATCATAGTCAAGAGCAAAGATATCAACACCAGCCCTCATGAGCTCAGCCCAGCGGGGGCGCTCAACATCCTCGCCCATCTCCTCACGCCAAGCGTCGTCAAGGCGGGAGAAGCAGCGGTACAGGGTGTGGAACCTCCCACACGTCTGTCCCTTGCGGTCACCTGTGCGAATGACATAGGAACAGCGGCCACTGCCCCCCGACGTCCCACGCTGAGCAAGCCACTCACGAAGCTGCTGGGTCGTTTGGGGATGCTGCTGCTGGTGGGAGCTCTGGCCCGAGCCAGTGCCTCCACTCCGACCTCCGCCGCCACCACTACCTCCGCTCCGACCGCCACCGCCGCCACCGCCACCGCCGCCGCCGCCGCCACCGCCGCCGCCGCCACCACCGCCACCGCTCCCTCCGCCGCCCCCGCCTCCGCTGCCGACCCCACTCCCACCAGCACTCCCGCCACCGCTCCCTCCAGCACCGCCTCCCCCCCCACCTCCCCCACCTCCTCCCCCCCCAGCGCCACCCCCGCCACCCTTGCCCCCCTTGCCCTTGCCGGTGCGGCGCCTCCCACCAGGAGCAGAAGCAGCGCCAGCAGACTCAGCACCAAGGAAGTCAACAGCAGCAGCAGTAGCATAGGAGGGAGCGAGGGGAGAGGGAGAGCACCCCTCAAAGATGGGGGTGCGAGGAGCGCCGCGAGCAGCACCTACAGCTACAATGCTCTTCTCGGCTGCTAGCAGCTTCTCCTCTAGGAGGGCGACAGTGAGCTCAGTGGGACAGCGAGCAAGGAAATAGTCGCGCACTGAGCTGAGGGTGTCAGGGAGACGGGTGACTATGAAGTGGAGTGTCCAGTACAGTGGAGGGGGGTTCTTAGCGCAGAACTCAGTGGGAAGGGCGGCACGCAGGCGAGCGTCACTAGTGCGAAGGTGGGTGATAAGATCGGCGACTGTAGCAAAGGTGGACAGCTCAGGGAACAGGTAAGGCAGCATGAGGCGGCTAAGCTCAGCTGTGGCCGGTGAGGAGTAGCGAGCAACGACAGCGTCGTACAGGGCCTTAGCGGATTTGCAGTCGCCAAAATGCTCGAGCTCAGCTAACGGCAGGTGACTGCGAATGGCTAGGCGAGCAGCTGCGTCACGAGTCTGCCAGTGGGAACGAACACTAAGCTCAGCTGTGGCAGGAGGGGCAGGCGCAGCACCAGACGCATAATCATAGAGCGACACATGCTCCTTGCTATCGCTCAGGAGGAACAGCTGCAGGTCATCTAGCCAAGTGGTGAACTGCACAGGGCGGCCCTCAGCATCGAACGACAGCACGCGGATGGAAGCCATAGCGACAGTATGACAGAGCAGCGCAAGCTACCGCAGCAAGGGTGGGCAATTGCGCACGGGTAGGGAGCAGCAGCAAGCGCTGCAAGCGGGCAGCGCGGCGGACAGGCGGCTCTGTGGACGGGCAGCGCGGCCGGCAGGCGGCGCTGCAGGTGGGCAGCGCGACTGGCGGGCGACTCCGCAAGCGGGCAGCGCGGCGGGCGGGCGGGCAGCGCGACGGGCGGCGCAGGGCACAGCGGGCGGCGCGCGGGGCTGCAAGGCAGCTCGACGGGCTGCGCGGGGCAGAGCGGGCGGCGCGCGGGGCTGCAGAGCCGAGCGACGGGCAGCGCAGGGCAGGGCGGGCGGGTCTCGGGGCTGCGCAGCAGATCGACGGGCGGCGCGGGGCACAGCGAGCGGTGCGCGGGGCTGCGAGGCAGCGCGACGGGCAGCGCGGGGCAGAGCGGGCGGCGCGACGGGCAAAGCAGGGGAGGGGGAGGCGCGCGGGGCTCTGGGCTGGCAGGACGCCGGTCGGCAGGGCGCACGAGGGCGCTACAAGGGCGCTACGAGGGCGCTAGGGCGCAACGAGGGCGCTACGAGGGTAGGGCGCGGGGGTAACGCGGTAACCGCAGCGTGCGGTGGTGGGCCCTAAAAAAAAACGATCGGATGGTCCTAGGGACCACCTGCTCTGAATACCATCTTAGAATACTAGCGTAAGCATGATGCATTGGAAGAAACAGTTGGGTACAAGTAGCTAACCCTAGTTGGGTTTGTACCCTGTATTGGCCACTACAGCCTACCCACATATATATAACACAGTACAACTTAACACGCCCTGCCACGCGTCAACTCGAAAGTCAACACGCTTCCGCGCCGTCAGATCAGTTTTCGTCCGAGATCTGCAGTTTTCATGCTACTGCAAGACTCGCCTACATATAAGGGCACCTTATTTAGAAGGTGGGAGAGTGTAATGAATGTGAATTCATTACTGTAGAGGCTGCTCCTAGCGAGGACAGCCCGAACTGTTCGCGTCAGTTTGGGCTCGGTCTACACTTTCGTACCGAACCAGCGCCGAGTCGCCCCGCACCAATCGCGACACTTCCAAGCCTCGCACGTCCCGAGGCCCTCGCCTAGCACGGTTTAGACCCTATAAATGCTCGCTTCTTTATCATTCTCGTCATTCGGTACTTTCATTCATCCTTTTTATAAAGTCTTCCGCGCACTCTTCTTAGTACAACTCATAACACAAACCGTGTTTCGGCCTGTTTGAGCACTGGTTTGAAATTAGTACAGTATTTTGTATTTATTATAACATTTCATGCTTTGCCCAAGCCTCTCATGCCCAGGAGATTTTTCGTGCAGTATATCTCGCTTCAGGGCGAGACTCGACACTATCCTGAGTCGTCAGGGCTGAAATTACAGCGTTATCCTGAGTTTCCAGTACGCAAAATACCGTTATACTGGTTTTACAGGACAAGTAATTCCCTTATGCTGTTTTTTCAGGAGAAGCACACGACACCTATCCTGAATTCAGGAGAATCAGGATAAATTATCCTGATATCTGAGGGCCTCTCATGCATCAATTCTTGAATACGGATTAATACCTGGAACTTCTAGTCGGGGATGCAGCATTCACAGTGGGCTAATATCTAGAACTACTACCAGCGGGCTAATATCTGGAACTTCTGATCAGATGCAGCATTTGCAGCACTCCATTGGTGTGTACACCGTCGTATGTGCACCGTATGTTCCCAACCCAACCATTTTGTGGAGGCACCAAAAACTTGAATTTGGGTGTACGCTCCCTAAAGATCCTGTACGACCGAGTCGCAATAGCCGAAAGCAACTCCATCGTAGCTACGTCGTAGCTATCGTTCAGCACGTCATTGTATAGACGACCGATTAGTTTTTCGTGTTACTTTCGGTCTTCCTCACCATTCAGCCTCGCCACTAACCAGTAACCAATAACCACGCTCGCATCTTCCGCTTCTTTCTGGTCTCGCGTCGCCGAGGCACTCGGCCGTGGCGCAACAGACCAGTAGGTCTTCCTCCTTGATTCCACGCCGCGTTTTCCTCCTCGCTCCCCGTCGTCCGTTGCGATTCTTCTCCGCGTCCCTCTCAACCCCTCTCAACCCTCTCAACCGGTTCACCTCCCTCTTCCTCGCCTCTTGCGTGCCCTGTCGCTCCCGCCTTCCGCTCCCTCCTTTTTTTTTTTCTTTTTTTTTTTTTTCTCGTACGTCTTCCTCCCCCTTTCCTCTCCCTCCCCCTTTCTCC